GCAGAGACCTGATTGAGAGTAAACTGCCTGCCTTAGCTGGCAGGCTGTCTTGATATAATGGTTTGATGGAAAAGTGCCCAGCAACCAAACACATCCAAAGCATGAGGTGAAGGATCCCTTCTTCCCTGCTGGTTAGTCACAGCAGGTTATTTCAGATCAGTTGCCATGTCTTCAGGTGTATGAGGTTTTTCACTCTCTCACAGAGGGGTTTCCACCCAGCTCTCTCAGCATTTGTGACTGTTCCTGGCATGCCACAGCTATTTGCCATAGGCAGAGGAAGGGATAGCAGCTCATCCTCAGAGGGGAAGGTGCACAGAGAGCCCTAGGCTCCAAAATTCCTGCCTTTTCTGTTTTCTGTTTTTGCCCAAGTCGCCTCTTTGCACGATGGCCATGAGCCACTGCCTCTTTGTGGTAGAGGCTCTAACCCTGAAAGTCCCTCTTCCTCTCCATTGCTGTCACCATTACTGTCACCTAGCTTGGCGTCCTACAGCCCTTACAGGTGAGGTCTCCCCCCAGCACGCCTTGCCTCTCAGACTGTAAGTCACCACTTGGTTTTGGATAATCAGGAGAAAGCTGAAACACCAGTTAGAGCCTTTTGTGTTTTCGTATTACAGGAGAGCACACTCTTGAATGCAGCAGGGCTGCTACTCACAACAACTTAGGAAATTAACCAAGAACAGTTTGAGCTTCTGTGCTTTGCAAGGGATGTGCACAAGTGTGAGATAGCCCTAGATCGTGGGCTACAGAACACTGCTGGCTGTGCTTGCAGCTGCCAAACACTTTATGTAAACAGCAAAGTTCCCTGAAATTGCAGGGGTGTTTTTTTACTCTCCCCTTTTCACAATTGGCACAGTTTGAGCTATGCCTCTAAAACACTTGTAGAAAGAAGGATAATGCCAGTGAAAACAGCTGGAGTGTTTTCCATAAGGGGACTGACTTTGTCACACAAACAAATCCCCTACTGCTTTCTTTGCTGACATCAGCCACCTCACCAACATAACAAAGACTGTGTATTTGATGAAACATTGAGGTCTCAGAGAAAAACAAAAACAAAAACAAAACCAACAAGTTTGCACAGTAGGAGAGAGCTGAATTACCTCAAATGCCCTCACTTTTACAGCACAGAAAAGAAGCATATACAAAAAGCCAGTACAGGCTGAGGTGTGGCCTTGTATCTCCTTGCCTTCTGATTACTTGTTCATATGCTTATACCGAAAATTAGCCTTAAAAGATTAATTTTGTCACAGAATTGAGGTGAAACATTTCTTGCCTCACTAAAGCTTGAATAGGGGTCACGTGTCACATTCTAATCTTCCAATTCCTCGTCCATAAGGCAGAACAGAAAAGGGCCATGGAGCCTACTGAAGCGATAACCTTCTCAGTTTTGGAAAAGTTACTGCTAAGTTCTACTTGGATGGAGATAGTAAAAATGCATTTTCAAGTTGTTATAGCTGTCCCTAAGTGAAGAATCAGAATACACATTTAAATAAAATCTAGCAGTTAAGGCATATTGTTTTGCTAGTATGAGGTGGAACAACAACAAAAAATTATTTAGAGAAATATTAATTATAGGGATTTGAGAGATTTTAGTGTGTCTGAAGCAGGGAAATATACAGGAGCTTGAGAGGACAGTTGACCCTGTTAGAATGTCCTACCTGAGTAGCCTTCTGGTTTAAAATTTTCCCACACTGGCAATCAGAATATAGCAATCTTTATCAAACTAAGGACAATGCACCAGCTACAACTGTTTGAAAAAAAAAAGAAACGTAGGTGTTGTGAAGAGTATTGATTTTATTATTCAGGGATATAGAAGAAAATATAAGTGCAAACCATGAAAAATAGAAGATTTCTTCTAAAAATCTTCTTTGCTGCTATGGTATAAACTTATTCCCTTAAGGAATAGGTGTGTATAAACAATTACAGAGAGAAGATAATTTGATATTTACAGGCTTGAATGTATTTCAAACGAAGTATAGAAGTTTCGGAATGCCCTTGTCTTTTCTCTAATTTAACGTCTACAGAAGAACATTATTTAATACTTGAAACTTGAGATTTCTGTAACGCTCTGTTGCTGACTCTGTCTGATATTGCTTTCAAAATTGCATGTTTAACTAATCTCCCCTGTTGCCAGGCAGTGATCAGCCCCCCATCACAGTCTGAGTAGCAGGTGCTTAGTAGCTCTGTAGTATCAGAACCAAAGCAAGATTGCAGAGCAGTCAGGTGTATCTCTTGCTGGCCATAAATCCAAGTAAGAAAATCTAGCTGCATCTGCAAGATAGGATTGTTTGCCTGCACTTCAAGCAAAACCTTCTGAGGGGATATAACAATATTGCAACCATATAACAATTTTGCAACTGAAAGAATCTTTCAGCTGAGTGTTTTATTTTGTCTGATTGTGTATATGCTGCATTTGTTACCATGTTTTATGCTATCCAATAAAACCAGTTTTTAATCTTTCACATGAACCCTGTAAAAACAGGATCTGATCGTTGTGTTGTAGAAACTGCTTAAAACTCTTGTGTCAAAAACTAAATCTTGGGAATTAAAGACTGTTCTCAAGGATTGTCATGGTTTAACCGCAGCCAGCAACCAAGTACCACACAGCAGCTCGCTGCCTCTACCAGCGCAAGGTATAAAGGATACCTTGACTGGTGCGTGTTCCAACGTGACATAAAAATGAAGCGTGAAAAGTACTTTACCATAAAAAATTTCAAGGCTTAAGTAGAAACCTAAGTGCGTGTAATTGCCTCAGATACCATAGCCCAGGGGAAACTGGTCGAACTCAACAGGGTATCATAGTGTCATATCTCAGGGCTTGCAGTGTCCTTGCTGGGAGGAGGCTCACTGGTGTGTGAAGGACAATATCCTTGCAGGGTCCCTCCTGCTGTTGCGCAGTCATAGATTTTCTGCAGCACTGAAGGACCTTCTGAGGACAAAACAACAGTCCGTTTAATTCGTTAACAGTTTTTTTGTCTTCTCTTGTTATTGGAAAGTTTGTGCAGGACAAAGATTATGGCTTGGGACCTATACACACGCTTAAATAACAGAAATAGCAGGCTGCTTTTCATCAGCCAGCTCAAACAGCAGACAGAAGACTGCCTGCATCTAGATACACCCCAGATGTTTCATGTTGAACTTGATGGAATTTCAAGAGAAGTGTAGATCTTATCAGAATACACTTTTGGCTGCCTGCCCTACCCTACCTCGTCTTTTCACATTTCCTGCAGTTGTTGGAGAGAAATGGATATGAGGTAATGCCCATCTGTGTTATTAACTCACCAGATCACACGATGAGGGCCTGCTTGTGGTCCTGATGGGAACATGTTTCCCCAAGTACAAGTCAGATTCCTGGGGTGTGTATAAGTCTGTAGTGTATTCATCCAGAATCACCACTATGTTCCTATGAGCCTGGAGGCATAACCTTATGTGCCTGAGGGGGAATTTCACTGCCTAACTCATTTGGACAGACTACGCTAAGCACAGTAAGCACTTGGTCCTGCATATTGATCATCTCTTCTTGCTAGAACTCCTAGCTGCTCTGGTCATACAGTTACTATAACCATAGATATTAAAAATCTCACTTCTCTAGGACTGGTAGTATTCGTCTGAATGTTCTGTCCAAAGGCCAGGCTCCTTCAGCTAAGGGTTAGTGCTGTCTAATCAGTTGTGATACAAGTCCTAAGTTCATGCATTCCACCCCAATACTTCCTCATGGGAGAGGAGTGCAAGTGGTGAACATTCAGTCGATGCACTGACCTTGCACTTCGTCCAGCAGAAAAGGCTGATATTTTCTCAACACTCTTAGTCTCTTTGTGTGGGGGGTTTAGCGTTGCCTGCTACTGCTCCTCTTTTTCTGTCCTTAGCTTTAGACGGTAGTTCACCATCTTGTTCCCTGTCAAGGTAGCTTTCCTGAGACCTGAAGAGCAAGGAACAAATAAAGATTTGAAGCTGGTTGAGAGCCTTATGAGTAGTGCCTGGAAATCCTGGGAGAGACAAGCCTGCAGCCCTGGGATAATGTCCCTGGTTTTGGAGAAGAGTCTTTGGTTTCTGTGTTCCTTCCAACAGATGCAGAAGATAATCATCAGCTACTGTAGACAAGATTGTTCAAGCATCTTGCAGAAACTGTTTGATAGTGTATGCTCTGAAGGTCTTCACTCAACATCAGCCTTCTGCCACACACCTTTTGAAAGCTTCAGGGGTAGAGGCTGTTCAGCTTAATCTTACCTCTATGCTTGGTAAACATAACTTATAAAAATTTCTGTTGTTGACAAACTGCAGGGATCACCAGGTTGCTGGGGACATTCTAGGCTGGTAGCTTTATTAATAGGAAATATTAGAAGTGAACGTGATTTTACTAGAAGCAGTGGGAAGTACATGTTAGTTACAGTGACTCAGGTTACCCTTTTTCTACATGGGGTTTTCTAGACACTGCTCTTTTGATTTCCTCTGTCTGTTAAATTCTCAGCCAAAAACCCTGTCTGTTCTAGGTCTTTCAGATCTGTTCCTCTCAGATACTGAAAGCTTGATGATGAAGGCAGAGGGGAGTAAATTACTGTTTATGCCATTGGAAATGCAAATAACTGCTCATTTAAAGTAATGTCCAGTGTTATTGAAAAGAACATCTGCTTTATTGCATTTGTGGTCCAGGGTCTAGTTAGAAATATTCTGTGTGGATTTTTGAGTATTCAGAGGTACCAGAAGTGACTGTAAGATACTACCAGGCAGCAAAGATCACACTGTCAGCCTCATCTCAGAGTTGTTGTTCCAGAGGGTTTCTTAGCTTCAGAATTTAAATGGAAGTGGTGGTGGAAGAGATAACGTTGTATATGCCAGGGCCCTGCAGGCACCCACAAGCTTTTGTTGCTTTGTGCAGCCTCACCTGGGACCTCTACCCACAACCTCGCTCCATCTGGCCCCAACAGGACAGCAGGTAATAAAAAACAGTCCCAGAAGTGTTTTGTTTTGTTTTTTTTTAAAAACATTTATTGATTAATGCCACATTAGGTAATATTGTATTGCACACAGTTTACAGATCCCCCAATATTTTCATGTGTTTTTCAGGAAAAACACACTAGTCCTATGATTTTATTTTTTTATTAGCTGAGTGGCAACTTCAAGACCAAGAGGTCTGGTTTCTGAGCTTAAGGATAGGATCAGAAGTGTACTTTTAGCAGGCCCCTGGAAAGAAAGAAAAGTAAACTTTAGTCCTTTTAAAAAGTAAGCTTGCAAAGTGCTTTAACAGCTTTTTAGTCTTCAGTGAAGCTGTAGCTACAGCCTTCCTAGAGTACTTCTGAATCACAGTACAAGGTTAGGATGGGGGGTGCAAAAGCTGCTGTTTGCACTGCTCTGTGTCTGTTGGCATAGCACTCGGCAGCCTTTCCCAGCTAGACACGGGCTTTCAGCTTTCCTGAGCACCTAGACATGCAAACGAGCTACCTTCCCTCTGCTACAGAGAGCATTATGAGGGGGTGTGGGGCAGGGATACCCATCCCACGCCCACAACCTTGGGTGATGCCAGCACCTGCTCTGCAGTGGAGGACTGGCTGGCACAAGGACATGCTGTTCAGAAGGTTTTAGCTGCTCTTCTTTGTCCCACAATGTGTCCCACATGTGTGCTACTGTGGCATCGGGCCTGGCCAACCTCCAGGCAAGGCAGTGAGTATGTGAGTGGTGGGCACTCAGCTGCCAACAAATAGGAGTTTCTGCTCCAGCACAGCCCTAAAAAATTATCTGCCTGTCTCATGGGCAGCATTTGAGCTAAATCAGCTCCCATACCTTCAGAAAAATGTTCTCGAAATGAGCTTTGGACACAGTCTGTTTGCATGTCTGTGGCACAACTGCTGACTCCCGCTGCCGGCAGGCACAGTCAGAAACACCCAGAGCCCCTCATCGCTGCTGTTGAGACCACCCAGGACACAAATCGTGATGGAGCTAAGAAGAGTGAGGGTGCTCCTTCCTGGGGGCACCTTCTCCTCTTTTCCTGGAGGACATTGTTATCCAAGTGGTCAAGACCAGCATTTCCAAGTGCTGAAGCACAGGGTTGTTACATCCATCCCTGTGCTATCTAATAGAGTAACAAAGCTGATCTTTTGGTAGTGTGCCAGTTTCAGCGCACAGGGTTCCTGTGAGGGCAATCTTAAGGCTGCAGAACCAGCGTGCAACAGGCTCTTGCCCTTGCACAGTCTTGTCTTTGTAGCTGTTTCTTACCAGATCTAACATTAAAAAAGGGTTGCTTAACGAGTACACCTTAGTTTGCTATGGTTCTGTCACATTAACAGCAAGTGCAATCACCTACTCTACAACTCGGTAAGTTCGCTGATTAGCCCACAGTACCTGACTGCAGCACGGGCTGGAACTGGCCAGACATGCAGATTTCTTCCTGCTTCTGGCGCACAATGCGCTGGATGGCCGGGGGGAGGCCGCGGGGGTTGCGTGAGAAGATCAGGGAGTAGCCATCGTCACAGGAGCCGTCCTCCTTCAGGCTGCGGCAGGCGTAGGTGATGGCGTAGTTATCGTAGTCGGTGTCAATCACCCAGTAGTTGTCCCCTAAAACACCAGAACGTGCGTGTTGGTCACAGTGGGAAAGACAGAGGGGAGGGGGGGATGCTTCCACAGGGAGACACCTCACTTCAGCACATGGCAGGGATAGCTTCCCAAAGGATCTAGTATCGCCTCCCATGTGCACCTTGAAGTGAAGAACTGGGACAAGCACAGGGAATCTTGAGGCTGTGTTGTTCCCCATGGCGCTCAGTGCGTTTTCACCTTTTGTTTCTTAGGCTAGAATTATTAGGAGGACTAGGACTTTCTAAGTTTGCAATGACAAAAAAAATCTCTTTTTGTTCCTTGCTCAAGTATGGTGAAGGGAGGGGCATACAGAATAAATTTTGACCATACAGATTACACTTCCTATACAGGAAGCCTCAGCAAAACATGCCTCCTGCTTTCCAGCCTTGCTCAACTGAGTTCATTTTGGTGTGGCTTATCTTCCAGTACTGAGTGAGTGTACTTCTTTCTTACTCATTAGCGGGCCAAGTCCTCCACAAGTTCCATAGCTGGATTCCCACAGCTATGGGACACTCAGGCACATAGGATGGGGTTTACACACAGGGTGCGTAACTGAGGTTCAGAATGAGCAGTTGCTGCAACGGGAACTTCAGTTAACAGCTCCATTTCTTTGAGTCCAGCTATGTCTGTCTGAGGGAAACTGTGCCTGGCTGCTGAAGGAGAACTGTGCCTGGCTGCTGGAGGGCAAATATGGGTCCACGTGTCTCCTCCAATTAGCTATGAAGACCTCAAGGATGACTGACCTCAGCATTTTTATATGCCCACAGTGGGGCCCAGGAACTATGCTTCACTAGGTTCAACACCTCACCTGGCTGGACAAAACCTGTGTGTGGGGGCCAATGCCTCTAATCTGCACCCTCCCTGTGTATGGTGTATCAGAGGGGTCTCTGTGGAGTCTCTGGATCCTGCCTCTTCTGTGGAGATAAAATACACTACTTGCATAAAGCATCCCCCCCCCCCCCAAAAAAAAAAGGATGTTTGTCTGCACTTGGAGCAATTTGAGCTGAACTGTTTTTCCTGCTCATATGTTGAAATGCACACCTGGGGAGCTGTAAGCAATTGGCCAGCATCAGAGGGCTGGAGAAGTTCACTTACCACCACTGGAGAGGTAGCTGGCCAGTCCTTGGTAGGTCATGTACATTTTTGCTGGAGTGGTTGGGTCAGGTACGGTGTACTGAGCAGCCATGTCAGCACAGATCACCCAGAAACTGCAACGAGATCCATGAGATTCAGGGTAAAACCTGGCAGCATGTGAGCTCTAAATGGGTGTTCCTCACTCAGGACTTGGGCACAACTGCCTCAGGAATGGGCATGGCCTCTCTTAATGCCAAGTCAGTGTTTGTCATTAAGTGATGCAAACCTCACACACACTCTCACAAACACACACACACACAGAGACACACACGGAGTGCATTGCTGCTGTCTGGTTCCCAACTCTGCTGTATGATTATGCTGTGGCTGGGGCAGCACCTCCTGACCCTATGGCTTTTTGCCACTCATATCTGTACAAGCAGACAGCCACCAAGCAAAAATGATGAATGTCATTTCTTGGCTCCCTGCTAGCAGACTGCAGAGTGAGGTGACCTGCATTTGGGCTCATTTGGAGTCATTCACTGTGTCCCCAGGCAGAGGCAGGGAGTCGACTCTCCTCTCTCTAACCCTTCCTAGCACTATTGGCACAGGGATGTCTGTCACAAGCACTGTAATAATTATAGCCCCCCCTTCCAAGTTAGTTAAAAGCCATCACACAGCCTTTGAGACCCTTTTAGGTGCCCATTTCTTCCAATGCCCTTTTCTGGTTGGGATCTGTTTGCTTTGAATAGCACCCACGTTTTAGCACAGTTTGTCAAGCATTGCCTGGATTTGTGAAACAGTGGAAAGATCTTCATTCCCTTCCTTGCTCTGGCTGCGCTTCCCCTTTATCTTGCCTTTGCAGAAATAAAATTCCCAGCAGCTCTGAGACCCTGCTTGATTTCTGAAGAGTCCTTTCAGGAATCTTCCCACTTGCACTGTGTGGCCTGTCTGCAAAGCTTCATTTGCCCCTTCCCAAAACCTCCTGGAGTGCTGTGCTGTTAAGACTTACAAGGTTCATAGCCACCTGCTAGTGCTAGCCTACCAGGAGCCCCAGATTTTCTTTTCTGCTCTCAGAAAGCTATTTAATCCCTTTACATGCCGTAATTCCTTGTAGTAATCATGACCAACAGGCAAAACTCTAAGCTTCTCACCATCTGTCTATTCAGGCATTGCAATGGCATCTCAGAGTTAACCACGTTTTCCTCAGAAATCTGTCTAACACTGTTGAGAGATCTGTGAAAGCAATGCTCACTTACACCCCTCTCCTTCCCCTGAACCTCTCAGTGAAATGAGAGCTATCCTGCCCTTGCAGCACCAAGCCTTCGCTAGCTCCTTCACTTGTTGCAGTTCATTTACTTAACCACTCCATCATTCAAGATTTGTCTTAATACCTGATTTTATGCAGTACTTTTGTGATGGACCCAAACCTGAGCCAGGATGAAAAGTAACCCAGGACTCAAAAGTGTCTAAATTCTAGCTTCTAATATCGTGCCTTGGCTGGGCTTCCCTTTTCGATGAAGAAAACCCAGTCATGTTCTATGCTTAGAATAGATCGCCATCCATATCCCCCTCATCTAGTACCTCTTGGCAGCAGCTAGAGCTGAAAGTCAAAAGAGCTCACCCAAAAAGCTTCACTCGGCCTTTGGAAGACGCTGTCATTGTGCCATCTTCCTCCACGGTGTATTCAGCAGAGATGTTGTCCTGAAGGAAAAGGCCTTCTGGATCCTTCTTGGCCAGGGCATACCATTTCCCTGCATACTAACATGAAAGTGTATTAATATCTGAATTAATCACAATGGCCAGATTAGCACAAAAACGATTTTGTGATCATGGTGCCTCTCTGACTCCCCGTTGCCTGGCCTATGGATAAAGTCTGAGTTTGGGTGGGTATGCAGCACACAGGTCCTGCAGTGCTGCCTGGTGAGCCCTTGCCTCTGAGCCAAGAGGAGCAGGTCTATCAGATCTGCACTGCTGTGTGCGTGTACTCGTTGTCAAGTGAGACATTCCTGTCATAGTGACCCCCCACTGAAAGCTTCTCCCATCCTGAGATGCCTGCTGGGAGTCAGGCTGGTTCTTCCCTGTTCCTGTTCAGGTGCCTGCTCTTCCATGGAAGATGCCATCAACAATACCAAACTGCAGCCACAAAGACCTCAGCAAGCTAGCTGGAGACATACTTTGGGGCTGCCAGGGGCCACAGTTGATCTCTGACAGCGAAAAGGGTCTACCCAGCAAAGCAGAAAGCAATGACTGTGTGCTCAATGAAAAGGAGAGGGTGTGCTGGGGAGAGTAGCAACAGTGAGAAAAGAAATCAGATCAAGGGGAAGAAAATGTCTATGAAAAAAATGGTTCCCTGGAAATGTACAAGCAGTATCTAGTGAAATGAAAACAAGATCTGAACAGATGACTGACAGATAGGAAGACCCTTAAAGGTTAACATTATTAGTAGAAATACCAAAAAAAAGTAGAAGCTAGCTGTGTTAAATTTGATACTCCAGTGAACCTAATGAGATCTGTTTGGCAAGTTATGTGCTTAAGCCTGAAACAAGTCTGTAATTCCCAAATACAAGAACCTGAGCAAAAACTTTGACCTTTTAAAACTGAGATGTTCCCAAAGCTCTCCCCAGAAACGGGTCCAGCAAAGCCAATCTTGTATAGAGGGAGTGCTTGCCATGTCCCAGCTGCATATGGGAGTGGGATGTTTGCTGAGCATTAGTTAAACAGGTACTGGCACACTAGTCTGGACCTTTCCAACAGCAAGTAAGCCCTCATTTCCTTCTCAGAGGCACAAATGATGTGTTTGAACAAGAGTCAATGTTCAGGATACCAAACTAGTTAAGATTTCAGTTTGCTGTGACTTCCAAAACTGGCTGATGGTGGATGCAAGTACCCCAGATCATGTGTTTGAGCTTTGTCTCTGATGTGGATCTAAATTGTTTCATTCTTGGGCCTACTCAAATCTGAAATCCGTATTGAGTGTCGAGCTAACAGAAAACGACATCTAATAGAGTAACATTTCTTATTTTCAAGGCCCATTTTACCATAATGTTCAGAGGGTTAAACAGTACTGAGAAAAGCAAACTACAGGAACAGCATCTGCGAGACAGCGTACAAAAGGGGTTAACTTTCTGGTGAAGAACGCCTTTAGACTAACACAACTCATAACCTTAAAAAAAAAAAAAAAGTTCTTCACATATACTGTTGAAGTAACCATAGTTACCCTTTTTGGATCAAAATTGTCTTTCACAGAGAAAGACTCCACTGCGCAGGTCTGAGCTAGGCTATATCCAACAGTGGAGAAGACCGAGGCCAGGAAAACGTACTGCGCGTATTTCATTCTGCAAGACAAAAGCAAATACAGAGTTTTACTTCGTGCAGTAGGTGGGGGTTGCAAGTGCTGTGCCTACAGGTGCATTTCCCTCATTTTAAAACTAGTTTCTTTCCAAACTGAGTGCACTACCAACTCCTCCACTGAGAAACTATGGAGTCGTTGTGGTGCCTGAATTCAGCCAAAACTGAACAGCAATGGCAATTACTTTGCAAGAGTATTTTGCATGCCAGTAGTAGTATTGCAGTTCATGATATTCTTACATTATAAATCTAGCCAGATTATGGATAGGGTTGGTAAGACTTGGTAAAAAATTCAAATGTTTTGAATTTTGTTTTCATGGAAAGGAAAATGCTCTGATGAGCTCTGGTAAAGCACTGTAGGTTGTAAAATACACCTTGGTATTGCCTGCCCTCTGGCCATTCCTTCTCCAAACACAGTGAATAATATTAGTTTGCCAAAAGCCTGATCTGTCATTGCAGAGCAACCACTAGGTGTCTGTGGCTTTATTTGTCTCCACGGGCTTCCCAGTTCATCCATATCCCAGCATAATTCTTAGTCTTCCGAAAGAGAGCATCTTCATGATACATTCTTGCCAAGTATTTGACCCTGAATACCTGTCCTGATGCCAAGATAAAACTGTTGCCTGAAACTTGTTAGCAGCATCCAGGCTGAGCTACCAACCCAAGACCCAAACACCCATGCAGCTACTCTGTTCCTAGCTGCTGCTGTGCAAGCTGCACTTCCCTGCTGCAATAGATGCTAATCTGGTCCACCTCTGCTGAAGAGAGACCTACCTGGATGGGGTGGAGATGTTGGAGATCCTTGAGACCACTCTGCTTCAGTCTTTGGGCTGCAGGTAGCAGGAGAGTTTTGTGTCAATTGCCCTCCAGCTGCCTTTAAATAAGGAATCTGCAAAGTCACTAATTGGTTATTTTTGCTCTTGTGCCTGAATAAAACACTTAATCTTGGATAATCCATTATGTAAAAACCAACTTTAATCCTCACACTGGTGGGTCTGACTGCTATAGTGATACAAACACAGCTTTTACATAATGGAAAAGCTGCCCAGAAAGCTAATAAATCTGCTGATTTAATTGTACTACACCTTTGTCTCATTGAAGTCTTTCTGCTTCAAACACATGTTAGGAGAATAAGCACAGAGCATTAATCAGAGAAACACTTGGACTATACATACTCGTCTGCAGAAGCATGTGTTTGAGTTTGACAAGATTCATGGTCTAGATACATAATTAGCTCTTCTGATGCCTGCTTCATCAGATTGAGGTGATCCTTGCAAAAGTAGAAAGATGTTATGCACCACCTACAGTGGTGAGGGGACAAAAAAGTGCCAAAATACAAACTTTTGCCTTCATGTATTCACATCAAAATCTCAGAGTCCCCAGTTCTCCTGTGCACTGCAACACTTTTATGCACATTCTTCCCAGCTGATTTTGTAAGCATTTCCAGTTACATAAATACTATAGCTCTCTCCTTCCCTAAATGTTCTTCCTAGGAGCCTTTCATGGGGATACAGTAAAACACAAAAGGATGAGAAAGCAGAAATTACTAGAAAAATACTTTTGGCAGCAAACCGTGCCTGTCATTCTCAAGTGCCCAAAGAATTTCCCCAACTGCAAAGGCTTCTCCTGCACTCCTTCTCCCAGGCTTACCTGGGAGATCTAAGACTTCAGACACTCAACTAGGAGCTGCCATTAACTAACAGTTACTTTTCCCACTGGGCTGCTAGGTGCTGGGGAGCCTTGGACGTCACCACTAGGGAAAACTCTGTAGTTCCCAAGTAAGTTCCTGGGAGTCCTGACACTTTTGGTTCCAATCCAATGATCTAGACATTCAGAGTAAGGCTAAAACCTTCTGTACATTTTGGACTTGCTGCAGAGATCCCTTACTGCCACTTGCCCAGGAATTCCTGAACAGAAGCACTCAACCTTGCCCCGTAGCTGGTGTGAACTGTGTTGCTTTCCAGGCACTTTGCACAGGGTTGCCCATTGTCTGGGAAAGGCAGTCCTTGCTTGATACTGGAGGAAACTTTTATTTGGCCTCTATGCAGCTTCCACTTCCACTTTAGAGGAAGGCAATTGTACTTTGTATGCACTATTGTGACTGAACCTTCTCTGTTCTTGCCATCTACGTGTCTTCAAAGGCAACCTGGGCAAGTTCACCAGGGAATGAACTCCTGGTAACTGGGACTGCTTGGCTGCTTAAAGAGTCACATAAAAAGCAACTTCTTAAACTGCATTTCCGGGCTAGATGCAGAAGTGTGCTTTTCCACCCTAACATGGGAATATGACAGAGAACAAACTGGCGTGTTTTCTGTAAATTAGAAGGCTTCCAAATACTTATCACCTCATCTGTTTCCAGCAAAACAGATTGGTTTATGTCCATGTGAGACACAGGTGACACCCGAAGCCATGCTTAGATGACCATTTAATCCCCTGGGGATTAGACACATGCTAATAATAGCTAATCACAGCACAAGATTTTGGTTGGTGAGCATAACATCTGTCACTGCATTATTTGCTGTTTGGAGCAAGAAGAAAACAAAATCAAAGTAACCTTCATTTTTTGCAATATTATGGCCATTTGTACTGGGCACAGAAAAAAAAACAAACAAAGGGAAGAATCAAAGCATTGAAACATGTTCCTGGGCTTGTTGAACTTGACAAACATGAAGTGGATTTTATAAAAAAAAAAAAGGTGCCCTGCAGGCTTTTGTCGTCAAAGAACACATCCAAGAGCCTATTCCAGACCTGCTCATCAAAACTGGCTGTTCTTAAATAGAAGAAGTGGCCTGACCATTCAGTGTACTGAACTCAGCACACTAGTAACTGGTAGTTTTAATGGCCTGCAGTAAAACAGGTATGCAGATGAGGTGATTAATCTTATCTTCTTCCCTATCCTGTGGAATACAGCAGCAGTTTTGGATTTCTGACCCGTACCAGGGTCCCCCTCCTTCTGCTTTATTATTGGAAAAAGCATTGGGAATTACTGCAATTGCACTGCCAACATATGTTGCTAGCTCAGCAGCCGATGGCACAGTATGAGCTCTCTAAATAGCCTCCTGCATCAGGCATGAAGTTCACTGCTCTCCAGCAGGCGATCAAGTTGTGTGCTTCTTTGCCATGTAACTGGAGAACAACTACATGTACGTGCATTCTGAGTCTCCCTTGACAGCTATTGCAGTGGCCATCACACCATAAGTCATGAGGGTTTCATGCTCTAGCTTTAGACCTAATTCATGCTTGCAACAAGTTAGAGCCTATAGACTTACTCCTGCATTTTTGGTGTTAAGCTGCTTCTGTTGCATGAACAGAAAAGGAAACAGAATATTACATGCATGATTTATACGTCCAGGCATATTCACATACTCTCCGTGCCTCTTGTTTCTGGAAGGCGTCCTGGGAATAACACAAGGGATTAAATTAACTCTGGTCTGTTACCTCACTGCTGTCTGAAGGGAACAACTTCCTTCCTCCTGCCTTACCCCAGGGAAAGAATCAGATCAGGCCATAGAGATACCCCACAGTGTACCTTCAAGTGTAGAGACCTTGCCTTCAGAGAGTAGAACTTCCTTCATGTTTGCAGATGTCACCCCCCCTGTCCACTTTGAAATGGCAGAATCTCTAGGCTTCTTGTACTGAAAGGGCTGATCTCTACCCTCCAGGAACTGGCAGCTTGGCATGAAAAAGGCAAATATGGTATCTTTAAACAAATGCAACTAAAATGAATAAACCTGCCAATGTCTGCAGATGGATCAGTTCAGTAGTCATAAATACCAGATATGTATAGAGATAAGTCAACAGTATGCCAATAGTAAACACTAGAAAACAACAACCAAAATGTTCACCTTCTTATTTGATGGCCAAAAAAAGGTCTCTTTTTGATGAGACTGCCTCAGGCCTGAATGGTCTTTTGGTAGAGGTTAGCAACAGGCCATTTGGGGAAACTGTCATGCATTGGAGAGTGAAATCCAGCAGCTCACTGATCAAGTTGCAACCATCATCTATACAGTTGTGCAGAAACCAATTGATGACAAAAAACCTGATATGCCTCTTTGGCCAGTAGATCATTGTGTGTTAAAATCCCACTGCAGGAGAGATTTTAGCCAGCTCTGCCTTCACTCTGTTCTACCAAGGCAGCAAGATGCTGAAGGGTATGGGAGAGTGGGTGCTACTTAACTTTCCTGTCAAGGCCTTGCCAGTGGCTCTGAGAAAGCCATTCACTCCAGCCTGACTGCCCACCGTGGCAGAGGAGCTGAGGTTCTTTGACTCCTCTGTGCCTTGAGCAGCCCCTTGTTTTTGCTTGAGAACAGGGGACATGTGTGTGTCTTTGTCTGGGATGTGTCACGTGCACGGGAGTACATGAGCCCTGCTCTGCCAGTTGACAGTCAACACATTTACTGGGAATTACACTATCGTACTTCAGGAAAGAAAGGTGCCTGTCAGTTCCTGGCATTTAAAACTGTGGGGTATTTGAATGCTGCCTTGAAAGTCATATAGCAGTGATTTACGATTCCTTTTTAATCTAATGATGTAACACACCCAAGAACATTACCCTTGAATGACAGAGGAACAAACCTCAAACAATTTCCTCGTCATCTGTGTTGCATTACTCTCTTCATTGGAAAAGATCAGCACTTCCCAGCAGAAGTCACAGAAAATGAAAACCTCTACACTCACAGCCTTCGTGTGGTGTCCCACTGTGGGGAAGCCTTATTTCTGCTGCCTCCCACCCTGATGAAGGAGTGGAGCAGACTATCACTGTCCTCTCGGTCCTCAGCAGATCTGGGAGTGGGATGTGTGTTCTCCAGCAATGCACACACAAGCGTGTGACACTGCAGTGAAGCAGCCCATATGCTGCTGTAAAAAGAGACCATATGTCAATATGTTGCAGAACAGTAAATGCTGCCTCCAGATTATTGCACCAGATTACTCCAATGGGATATATACAGCTTCTTACATAGCACGCATCTCAAAGTGCTTTACAAAAGTGATACTGCTGGCACAGAGCTTGAGTAGCTATGGATAAGCCAGGATGTCCATGCCAGCCCCAATGATGGATTTAAAAGCTAAAACCAGAAGCACAAATTACAAAAGCCAAGGAAATCTGTATGTGCACGCAGTCAAAAGCCATTAGCTGGGCACATGGCCCTAGTAGGCATTAGAGGACACAGCTTCCACCTGCAACAGAAGGTGCAAGGAGGGAAGGTTTAGGTCAGAGCACCTCTCTGCATTCCAAGAGGAGGGAAGGTGTGAACACCAGGCTGATCAGTGAGTGACAGAGCTAGATAATAAACAAAGGCTTTCACATACAACTGCATTTCAGCTTTCAATCTCTGCACCTTCTGCAGGAGAAATGGATGGAACTATGTAGCTTCAGAAAAGAGAAACAAACTGTGAGGGGTTTTTTCAGCTGTCAAAGATGATAAAATTATTTTTCAGTAATGGAGGATTTTCTTGTTTGTTTTATGCTTTAAACAGCTGATCTTTGAAGCTGCAAGATCTTAAATAGTGTAAATCTTCTCTAGGTAGGAAACTTCACTGTTTTCACCATGTCATGCTTCTTATACATAGAAAAATTATTTATTTTACTGAAGATCTCAGAGGTCCCAGTCAACTCTGAGAGTCCCACAGTGTTACTACCTCTGTAAACTTACAACCAGAAAACACTTGACCTGAAGACTAAGTTTACATCTGCTTCAGACTCAACAACAAGCTGGAAACACTGAAAATTGCAATGTTGCCTCAAAGAGATAGTTACCAATGCCCATTAAAAATACCACCTGCAGCAACCTCTACTGCAGGAAATGAACACTAAACATCCCTCTGCCCACACGGAGAGAAGGAAGAGGAGACAGGCCACACTGTGCCCAGACATCATCAAAACCTCTGTAGGACTCACTGCAGTTCTGTGCCTGCAGCCCCAGCACGGGGAGCTGTGGCCACTCCTGTAAAACACCTGTATGACCAACCCTTCTGCTGGTCTCTGGAATACGAGCACTTGTTTCTTTTTTGCTGCAGCCTTGTACCTGCCAGTGTTGCACCCCCCTTCATACTGTGCTGCGATGTGCACTGAGACTACACAGGCACTCCCAGATTCTTCTTGTGATTTTTTGGCTTGACTTGTTGCTACCCGTGGTGGCTAAGCTTGTTTGCACTCCTCTGGTTCCACAGCTTTTTACAGACTCAGTAGCCCTTTTTTTCTTCCCCATTGCTTTATCATCTTCCTGCTCTTTCATTATTCTTGAAGCTAGAGTCAGTTTCTCCGCTCCCCTTCTTTTCTACTAAACAATCCTGCTCTCTGTATTATTTTTCCCCCCACATTGTGGCCGTGTTTCCCAAAAATCACTTCATTATCTGGGATGCTCTCCTCTGCAAATCTTTCCTTAGAGCCTCTTCTCTGCTCTTTGTTGCTTCTTCCTGACACTGCATGAGCAAATCCACTTTTGAGTACACTTCTATTTTGTTAATAGTATTCTTTCTAAAAGTTTCTTGTGTCCTACAATTGTGTTTTCCTTAATTCCGTGCCCAAGTTCCATTTTGGGAAGATGGTTGTGCAAGGAGTGCACACAGTTTAGTCTGGGAAGGGTTTAATGATCTTTTTTGTTCTTGAGCTTCACAAGACATTTGATGAACGAGGTAATCTTCTTATTCAAGGTTCAGTGATTCGTGCTAAGATCTTTGGATACAGTCTGCCAATCGAAACATAATAGACTCTCATAGACTTATTGCAGAAATTGCCACTGCTACTGTATTGAAATATTTTTTAACTGTACCATCTCACCATAAAATTAAGGGAATCTGTGCATATGTACCATGTGTACAAGGAGGATAAGGTCAAAAAGCCACATCAGGTCTGTGGTGTCTTAATGAAGGCTTAGGCATATTTCCAGTCTTCTGGCAAGACAAAGATAAGTTTCCTCATAAGTGTCTCTCAAAAAAGTACCAATCAGGCTTGCCAAATCCCAAACTGACCTGTGGGCTAGAGTGCAAGAGAAGGGCTGCCACTTTCAGAAATCCACCTCCTTTCTGTGAGGACCACTCAGATGTAAATCTCTGACTGATTCCTACAATTCACCAATGCAACATATAAATTAGTATGCTAATTTTGGGGTAATTTTCCAAAAGAATTGATAAGATGAGGGCTGATATTCCTTTGTCATGACAAAATGGAGTCAACATTCTGGCCAAAATGCAAGCACATTGCTCACCCCTTGCAACTGAACTGGCAGCAGCACATTTTCCCCTCTACACAGTAGTGCATGGGATTTATACTTTATTACAAACATTTATCGATCCTGCTACAATTCAGATATCAGCTGTCCCTCCAGCAAGGAAACACAGCTTAGCATAACCAGCTGCTACTCAAGCTGCATTTCCTGCAGAGCTGGAGTCGTCACTAATCCATGCTCCTGTGCTCTGCTGCTGCATTTCTGTGTGGCAGCCAGATTGCATTAAAACAAGTTATGTGTTTCCAGCTGTGCTCATGCACACACCTTGGCTGACACATGTCCCCACTGCTGCCGTCCTGTACCTCTGTCGGCTCCTGCCAGCTCCAGGGGCAGGACTCAGAGCTTGCCCAGTCTGGGCTGGAGGAGGTTCTCCAGCCCCTGAGGTCCTGATGAAGGGTAGGACTGCCCCTTGCTCCCCCAATTTGGTGCCATCCCCAGACTTGCTAAGGTGCCCTCTGCCCCAGTCCAGCTCCAGCCAGACTGACCATGTGTGTTGACAGTGGGTGGCAGTCTCTCACCCACTGGTGGCTGCACTACCTGGCACTGCAGGCAGGAGTGTGGCACAGCAGTGTCTGGGACAAGGGGCAAGATCCCAGGAGGCAGGGTCATGCTGTGGTGCCATCTAAAGGTCCTTGGACAGCCACAGAGGGGAAGGAAAGGGGGAGGATGCTGAGCAAAGACTGTAAGGTTTTGCACACTAGCCCTCCGTGGAGCAAGAGACAATCCACGTGCAGCTGGGGGAGCAGACCAGACCCTGGGGAGTAGAAGAAGACCCTGGCCCAGGAGAGGCAAGGGACATGACTGATCCTCGCTGGGCTCCCCTAGCTCCAGGCAGGAAAGCTAACTCTTGTGTACAAGCAGGTGGCATGAGAATATTACATGGTAAATCAGATAAGCTGCAATCTCGTTATGCAGCAACGGATGAGGGGGTCAGAAAGGTTTGAGTATAGCTGTCAATACAGTATCCTGTAAGGATAGTGTCTAATCAAATTAGTCACTTGCAGCTCCCCTCCCCACAGCCTCTTGGTTAGGAGGAAAACAATGTTCCCAGGAAGGAGAGGCGCTAAGCATCTTGAGCTCTGACATCCTCAGCATTTGCCATCCCTCTTTCTGCTTTGCAGACACTGTGCACTGTCTGCACCCACTGCTTTGGACACAGTCCCATAAGTGGTCCTAACAGTGCTGCTTTTCCTGGAAGGTACGTTTTGCACCGGATGATTCTACTCCACAGTTGGAGTCTCCAGTAGGAGAGTCTCCCTCCTAGGACTGGGGAGAGACTGTCATACGAGTTGTTGGGAGGAGAGGAATTTTATTCCCAGGAACTTGAGCTCATTTTCCCAGCTGCCAGCCAAGCCTTCAGGGCAGCTTAAACATTTGAGGTTTTCATTTGAAACACTGTTTAAGTGACGTCCACCGACACCCCACAAAGTAGAGGTCCTATGCCAACTTTGCAATTCAGGTTTAAAGCTATTAAAAACAAATTTGTGCAACCACACGTGTTCAGATATTATTATGCTGCGTGACAGTCTAGTGCAAGTTTCCTAAAATAGCATCCTCATCCTCCTCCAAAATCCTCCATTGTCTGCCTAACTCCATTCAAAGAACATTATCCTATTGCAAGCTTAGATTGTATCCACTTCAGTTACCAATGTTATGCCAGCAACGGCTTTCATGGTGCCACTTGAGTATCCCTGAAGGCCTAGGGAAGGAATACCTGAAGCCTTTGCACCGTGCTTTTCTATTCTGGGTACATCAGCCCACCACCCTTCTCCAAGGGGGTTTCTGTGGCACTGCTGGCTCCATTTCCAAAAGTGATTTAGATTTCCACCTGCCATTCCTACATGGTTTCAACTGCACTGCACTTGCACAGCCCTGGCTTAGCCTTACAAATGTTGCATCAGTTTCTCCACCTCTGCAGCTAGAAAATTCAGTACTTTAGGACCTTCATTCCCTCCCCTTTTTTGGGAGGAAACCTTGTTAAGTTTCAAACCCTGAGTGCAGAAGCAGGAACTGAGCTTGGATCTTTCACATTTTGGGCCTGGAGTATTGCTGTTGGACACTGCTTGTTTTTCTTATAAATGTTTTGAAACAAAAACATTTATCTTGAACGAAACATAACCTTTCATACCAAACAAAGTGTGAATATCTGGAGGGTTTGGATCCAAAAGATACAAAAGTTCACCCATTTGCAATTTTTCGGCTCCCAAATGACAGCCAAAAAGCATATACACCAGTTTGCATAGCTCTTAGTGCATCCACAAAACCTTTTTATGTCAAGAAAACACCACATGTTGCAAAGCCAAAAGGACCTTCTGTTCAGATATAGGGCATCCTGAGCATGTCCTCTAACTGTATAGCTGTGTCCTGTGATAGCTATTTCATAGATGGTCTGATTCATGGACATTGAAACGTTTCTGAGAAGTGGCTATGAGCTCCCTGGAGACCTTCTCTCCTTACACAAATATGACCTGGCACAAGGAGGTTCCAATAGATCCTAAAAAGTGCCAAGCCACGGTATGCTGAACTGTAAGAGGAGCTACACTTCACTTCAGACTTTTTTCAAAAACCCAGTGGCAGAAAAATTAGTTTTCCTCCAGTTTTAAGAAGTTGTTTGTCTGTATGAGTTCCAGCTGGCTCTATCACTACATGTGCATCTCTTCTGACTAAAAGTGTTTGCTGAAGAAAAGGATGCATCTCTGTTTCTAGGGATACCTAAGATTGGGTAAGAGCAATCTCTTCCCACTGTTTTGGAAGCCATTTCTGTGCAGGTCTAAAATCTACTGTATTGACATGATTATGGAGAACAGACTGATCCCTTTTTCTTAGCAGTAGCATTTAATAGAGTTGGAGACTGTTTTGTTTAGAAAAGAGACATGAGAAACCTCAGTCTTTCCTCAGAGGTCACATTTTCCCACTGTATTCCACGTGAGACATCTGTTCAGTACAACTTGGCATAATCTGTTATGCAATAGAAGGTTCATCCTAATGGATGTACACCTCCTTCTGCCTGGTAGTCTTGACACATGTGCGGTCTCTGTTAAGCCCAGACAGTGACTCATCCCCATGAATTCACCAGGTGACTGTTCTCCACCTGAATAGGACTTTCCATACACCCTTGGTGAGGTCTAGTGCTCTTGTCCTGAACACATCTGTCTGCAACTTAGTTTTAAGATGGTGCTAAAACACATTTACAGACACCTGACCGCGGCTTGCTCACCGACTTAATGTTTTTCCACCCATCAGTGGAAATAATGAGATGCCCTACATCTATGAGAGCCTCCACAGAGAAGCCTACTCAAGAAGTTCTGAATGTCTTTAGTGAGCTACTAACAACAACTCTTCATCTCTCAAATATATTTGCTGCCGCCTTTTAACTACTTCATCTAAGCTTTCACCTGAAGAGAGTATCTTGTGTGTCATTTCCTCATCAGTCAAGAGCTGTGGCAGCCACTACTTTCTTTTTGTCTCAAGACTTATAGAGGAAATTATGATGTATGACACAGTTTGCTCTTGACAAAATCACACTGGATGTTACTTGTCTCCTCTATTTATGTACAGACACAAGTTTGTTCCTGTATTTCTTAGAAGCCAAATTTAAAATGGTCTGCTGTGAAATTCTCCAGTTCTTTCTTTTTCCTATTTTGCAGAAAGCATCATTGCATTTACCTTTTCCCAGCATTTCAAAACCTCAGAAGATCCTCCATTAATTGTCAGAAAAACTCATTAACAGTTTAGAAGTTATTTCACACATTCTAAAAACTCTAGCTCTTCAATGCTTTCCCTAATATTTCTGCTCTTCCCTATATGATAAACAGAAAGTGTTTATTGCCCTTCATGTTCCTAATGTAACCTTATATTCAAGTTGACTTTTCTTACTTTCCATTTTTAGTTGTTCACTGTATTTTTTACACATCTTCAATAATTTCACCATGTTTATACACTTTCTGTCCGGTTTTCTCTTCCTTAAGATTAACAAGAACACGTAATTTACAAAATGGCCTGTTTTTTCCAGTTTGAAACTTTCATTTCATGGTCTCGCTCACCTAAACTGTCTCTCACCTTCATTTTTCAGGCAATTCTTTCCTTTGCTTTCAGTCAAAACCAAAGAAAATTCCCTCTTGCTCTTTCTGCCAGCCTTTGTGCCCAGAAAACTGCTGTGACACGTGAAACCTGGCTTAACAACCTGCAACCTGAAACACTGCCATCCCTACAGATGTCTGAAAATTAAAATTCCACATTGCCACCAAGTTCTGTGCTTGGGACAGTCCTGCCTATTGCTCAGAAAAAGGTTTCACCCATCCCCGTTCCGGAGATCTGGAGCAGTCACGCACCATGCCAGCTCTGAGTAGGTCCTTGTCCCTCTTTTGGAACGTGGTTTTTGGAGGCAGTGTATGTGGCCCTGGCACACATCACCTCCTTCAAGTCTTCTTGAGCAGTAGTTCTATTTTAGTATCCTGGCTATGAGAATTACCAGAACAAGCCACCTTCCTCCCAGGTACCCACATTCACATTCGGGCTGGATTGAACCACTCCTGGCAGTAGTGACAACACTCTCAGAGAGGGCACAGCGTGGGCCCTTACTCCTTCAGCAGGTTACTCTTGTTTATTTTCCACCAATGTGGTGGATGGGACTTACTCTTGTTTGCCAGTAATGAAAACTCCTGTGCATTAATTCCTCTGAAAGGTGATGGCCTCTGAGGCATTTTGCCTCCCAGCATCACATTTGTCCTCACCTGCTGTTTGCACAGCATGGTGGCTTCATTGATGTGAAACAACTTAGGTTTCTCACAGCCATAATTCTCACCCTTTCTCTCCACTGATAGCGATGAGGGAAATTTTTCTACCTTCCTGGTTTGCTTGGGTTTTGTTTGGTGTTTGTTTTTTTGTTTGTTTGTGTTGTCTTCAAGGCTCTCCATGTTTTCTTAGAGTGTTTCAATCCAGTAATCCCAAATGGAAGTTCTCCTTCCTGAAAGGACCCACTAAGAAGCGTATTTTCCTGTCCAGGTTTTTACTAGCAAGAAGAAAAGGCCATAGTCCTTGCAAATTCAATTCAAATCCTGGACTAAAGCACTCAGGATTGGTGCTTTTGTTAGAGAACAGCCCTTAGACGAGCTGTCCAAGAGCCGTCCAAGAGTCATGAAATTGTAGAGAGAGTCCTGAAAGAGCAGCGTTACCTCACTGTTTTTGTTCTGGCCACTGTATTCTTTTGCAAAGGACGCACTTCCTACTCCTGCTAGGAGCTAGGAGAGCAGGAATAATAAGATGCTCACCTTGTTAGCCAAGGATTAGGCCCAAGCAGTATATATTTAATTAGACTTTAAAGAGCTTATTTCAATGTTAGGAGATGCAGTTCTTCCCTGTCGCTGCTGCCTCAATATAATTGTTTCAGTAAGTGTTCTGCTTATCAAGAGAAAGGAGAGTGGTTTTGGATATTGCAAGTACTCAATGTTTGTTTGCAGTTAGATTAAGAAGCGGAAAGTTGACTCAAAGCTCTTGTAGAGGTCATCTAATCTCTTTGTTTGAGAAGATCTGTCCTCTCAGACTCACCTTCGGCACTATAAAGGAATACATCTTCCTGATGACAAGCTCTCTTTGCAGTGATACTTCACCCTTAGTCATTCTAGAAGCAGCATCTTCTACTAGAAAAGCTTAGGAACTACATGAGAAATTAGAGTGCTGCTTGCAACGACCACGTCTTCCGCAAGATCCAGGGCATTCACAATGAGCATTAGTCAAGACGACGTGGAGAAGTTTCTTGATGGCAACCCTGCTTTTGCCAAGCAGTACTTTGAGAAGAAACTGAAAACAGAGTCATGGGATAACAATGAGAGCGAAATACTTTTTGAGTTGATCCAAGACATGCAAGAAAGCATCAACATGGAGAAAGTTGTTTTCAAGACCTTGAGAAGAATCAGGTCCCTTATTCATGCTGACCGCTGTAGTCTTTTCATGTACAGGCAGAGAAATGGCACACCTGAACTCGCAACAAGGCTTTTCAACATCCAAGAGGGAAGTACTCTGGAGGAATGTCTGGTGTCCCCAGACTGCGAGATTGTCTATCCACTGGACATAGGCATTGTGGGTTATGTTGCGCAGACAAAGAAAACCATGAACATCAAGGATGTCCATGAGGTATGTTTGCCATTTATTCATTTACTGGGTAGAAGAGAGGCTCACATGCTTACTAGTGCAAAGGGGTCAAGAGGTAGCAGTGCCTCTCAGTGCTTGGCCAAAGGTCTTGTGGTGTAATAGCGGTGTACTGGAAACAAAAGCACCAGTAGCAAGTTTTCAAGTTGCTTTCAATTTCATTTATAGAATGAGGTGAAGCTAAGCCCGTTAATTACGCTGGGTCTTAGTGCCTGGAAACAAGTGCACTGCCACACCTGGCCTGTCAAATTAAAAAAAAAAATAAAAGTCACCCGTAGTCCAGCAGAGGAGAGTGAGGAAGTCAGATCTGCACTGAACGCACATGGAATTTTTCACAGAATTTTACGATCCATTAGTAAGTTGCAAAGAGAGAGAAATCCTTTACGGGAGTACAAAGCGGGTTTTTGCACTAGAGAAAACATTTGAAAATGGTTACTGTCTGATGAAATTTCAGCCAAGGGCATTTAGAGACATTTTTATTAAACAGAGGGAGTGGACCTCAGAACAAATGTGTTAACTGCAACCTGTGTATGGTGGATCTTCATCAGAAGCAGAACAAGACAAGTTTTGACCAAAAAAACTCTTTCAGCAAACATTGTAAACTGGAGGGATCTCAGGAATTTTAATGTTTTATTTTTATGCCTTCGTGACAACATTTACTCCCCATACTTCTGGGTTGAATCACCTTAAACCAGAATGGCAGCAATAACAATCCGCTTGTTCTAATCATAGGTATAAAACTAAAATCCATGTGACCTAAATATGGCATTTGGGATTACTCCATCTATTGTTTGCTAGTTATAGAGAGACCATCTGTTGATCGATTCATTTGTTGCTCAATACAAGCATATCCAAACCCTTTGGCAAAACCTTCCTTGTCTTCCACAGAAAATAGACACCGATTTGGTTCTGCAGCTTTATTTTTTGACATTTGGGTTGTTTCTGATCTTGGGGGAAGCATCAGAATGTGACAAACTTTTTAAAGCTGTTTGCTTTCTGATGTTTCTTCAGAAATATGGGAGCATTTCAGTGCTGTGAGCTAAGAGCTGCACTCCGAGTGCTTTCAGACATCACCGTAAGACATTCCTTTGAAGGAGACCCAGAGACTCAATGCTTGGTCTATCCCATTTGGCAGAAGGCCCAGCAGTGGGGAAGGTATGAGGAGAAGTACATTAGGGAGAGATTATTCTTCTGTTTCAACCTTCTGAATATGATCAGAGCTGTGTGGCTTTTTCTAACCCAGGTGGAAGAGTTATTCACCTGAGCAGAGAGAAGATCTTGGGTCAGCAGGACCATCCCTGCACTCCCTAATGGCAGGTGATGGAGGTGTCAATAGGACCCCATGCAAGTGAAGTGACGGGCCATCTGCTTTCCCTGTACTATGCTTTCTCTGCTTTGTTTTCTTTTGTCATGGGGGGAAATGTAATATTGATACAAGGATGAACTGGACAAGTTCCTTTTGAGCTGGCCCCACAGCATGACCTAGCATGCCCCCAGTGGTTTGAATGGCAATTCCCTCCTGGGTGACTTCCCGGGCAGCCCAGTCCATTGCAGAGCTGTCTGCACATGGCAACCACTACCAAAGTGCTCCTGGGGCAAAAGGGGGTGGATTGCTGCCAGATGCAGGGGAAGATTGCCAGGAAACACACACTAGTGGTGCCAACTGCATCCTCCCTTGGAGTACCTGCCCTACCATCTGCCATCCCACGCACAAAGGCCCGGCAACATGTGAGGGAACATCTGGGAGAACAAGGAGTAGATGGCTTCATGGATGCTGCAAGCTGACAACAAGCCTCAGGGTCCAGGCAAAAGCAGAAATAAAATGAGAGTGAGTGAACTTCCCAGTGACTGCACTGGTTCATACACCGTGGCTACGCAGTGCTGCAAGGTATCTGTGTGCATTCACTCCACAGTGCTAACAAGAAGCCGGAGGAAAGGGTGAAGGAGGCACCATGAAGAATGTCATCTATCTGAGAATGATCAGTGGAGAGCCTCCTTGTTCTGACAGTTTGACATGTTAAAGCTTATGGCTAGCAGGATCTCCACAGAAAGTTAGAAGCACACGTTGCAATCTGAAGCCACAGCTTCTCCTCTTGATACTAGCTTTATCATCCGTAGACTGTCCAATTTTCTGTTAATTCATCTCTCTTCCTCAATAATTTTTAAGTAAAACTTTCTTTAGGCAGCTCGCTTTGAGAGGCTGTGCTTCATCTTGGTTTTAAGTCTACGGATATTGTGGAAAATGCTTAATTTGTAAATTTTCTGTTAAACAGTGTGCCCAGTTCAGTCCATTTGTCGACGAGCTCACCAACTATACTACAAAAAACATCCTTGCGACACCCATCTTGAATGGCAAAGATTTGGTTGCTGTCATTGTGGCTATTAACAAACTGAACGGCCCACACTTCACCAGCTCTGATGAAACAGTAAGTGGTCAGTAGCTGAGTTTCTATCAGAAGGGTGTTACCTGTGTCATGCAAAACAGATTCTTTTGTGCTGGGGATGTCTGCTTTCCGTGAAGCTCCAGTGTTGTGAGTTTCCCTAAAGGGGACTCACCCTCTAATAAAAGAGGCTTAAAATGAGGTTGCTTATCTCATAAGTCTTTCATGGAAGACACAGTGGGATAAGCCTCATCTCATGCCAATGCACAGCAAAGCATTTATCCAGGGAAATTCCCATGATGCTTGTAAAGCAGTGTTATGAAATACAGTGTACATGAGGCTGCTACTGCGTTCAACTCAATCTCGTAATTTGTCTTTGCAGCTTTTTCTGAAATACCTGAATTTTGCATCCTTGAACTTGAAAATTTATCACTTGAGCTATCTTCACAATTGTGAGACTCGAAGAGGCCAGGTAAGAGTGAAAATGCAAAACGGGTTATATCTCAAAACCAAATGAGTGCATTCTTCTGATTTCAAAGGTGTACCTGATCTGCTTCAGAGATTTGTGCCCTAAGAGCAGGAAAAAAAGAGACCCTCAAGTGCTTTCAGGTGCTGTTCCTTCCCCAGAGTCCTTCATTACTCTTTCTGCTGCTACTGGCAAAAGTGCAGGACCTGACACAGTGGCACCAGTTTCAGCAGGACTGACTTCCAAATGTTTTTTTGACTTGAGGCTGCAAAACACTCTTGGGGTCATTTAACCACTTCAGCCAGCAGCACTAAAAGATTTCCTGAGACGTAGGAGAATGTGGTATTTTTTCCTCATCTACTCATTAAAAAATGCTATTGAATTTCTTCTTAGAGACAGTAAAATGTTTGTTGTACACCTTTTGTACTGGCCTCTATCAGTAGAAATGACCATAGATTAGGGTTTTAGGGTATTCTGAATTGAAATAATCAACCAACGTTCTTTTCCATGACTTGTATTACAATAGGATTCTCAAATTCATTGGGATGGATGTGAATCCTTGCAATCACTTTCTGTATAAGGCAACCAGTTATCATTGAAGAGGACATGCAGTGGCGTCTGTGCTTCGTGGCAGCCATGATCTATTCTCCAGTGGGGGTTCCTATGGGGAATAAATGCCTGTCTCAGCAAAATGAATGCAGAATGCAAGTTTATTTTGAAGCTTTGGGACAGCAGTTACATTTACTAATTCCTTATTGTATATGCTTTACCTAACTTTATTAATAAAAAACATGAATGATGGCCAGGTCAGACAGCCTTCAGCAATGATGAGTAGTTCAACTAAAGCAGAACTGGCAAAGGTTTGTTGCTGTTGAGGGCTTAGCAGTAGATCTGGTAAGAAATAGGATAGAAGACAAAGTGGAGACTCAAAAAGTGGAAGGCCTAATGTCTCCCAGAGGGTGCTCTGGTCTGGTTCTGAACCCAGGAATCCTGTGTCCATGTACTATGCTGCATCAGCAGGTCCCACAGAGAGGGAGGAAAGTGAGAACGAGATGCAGGACACACTGCTATAGTTCTACCAGTAGTTCAGTTATCAGACCTCTGGCTATCTAGGTCTTACAGTCTGTGTGAGAGTTAATACATTGTGGTATAACCAAAAGCACCGAAATACAGAATGAGCAAATCACATTCTCAAAGGTGGTCTAGGATTTTAATGCTGCAAATCCCATCTGCAAAGACTGTGCAGTACTGTGCATAAAATGGTTTGTGCAAAGACAGTTCAGTCTGCTTGTGCTCAGACACTGTGTAAGAGTCTTGTTAGAAGACCATGTAATACATTTTGACCATCTTTTTTACATCATACCATGAATTAGACATTTTTCAGATGTTTGTTTCGGTCCTCCTCACAGAGTTTGTGGCTTTCAGCATTACTTACTGCGTGCTGTAAAGTGCCAAAAACTAAACTGTCGCTCATTTTCCTATCTGAGGGATGCTGACAATGAACATCTCAGATTTTATAGAGTTGTCCCAGTTTATGAATTAGAAACAGAAACAGATGCAGCTCATGATTGTCAAAATCATCCGCCAGTGTCCAGTGAAGAGGTGAGGCACCCTTTTTCTGGCAGTGGCCATGTAGCAGCACTTCTTGTTCAAAGCACAGGTCCAGTCCACTTCAGGTTGCAGCTCTCAGTGCTTTTGAAGCACTGTTCCTCACATCTCCTGGGATCAGAAAGCAAAGCAGTCACATTTGGATACAAGCACACATGCATTAGCTAAGCTAAGGAATTGTGTAGATGCTTCCTTACCACTTCAGAGAATATTTCTCCTTTAGGCTCACGAAGGCTCTCCTTGCACCACCAGCAATACTTGTGCAACCTCCATTTTCACAAATGAAGGGGCCTAATAGCAACATCTTTCTTAAGGGTACATCTGTGGGGCACAGAGCAGGTAAAAGGAGCAGACATCGATGTGCATACAAAGCAGCTGTGCAAAGGCTTTGAGGAAAGCGTTGATTCACGTATTTCAAACACCAGCCTCTGTAATTTGCAACGTTTTTGGTGTTAACTGGTTTTGGATGCAAGATTTTACTTATGGCTTTAAAACATAAGTGGAGACAACTCTCTACCTGACAGTACTACTTTTTTTCGTGGTGTGTTTTTAAGATTGCACTTCTACATAATACCCCGAGATGACCTGACTCTTCCTCCCTACTGATTCCCAGCGTGAATAAGCAATGCTTTTGCATTTTGCTGTGTAGGTTTCCTGCACTTTTCAGGAACTGCAGTATAAAAACCCAATCGTTTCCTTGTTGCTCCAAATACATTTGGGAAGCCCATCTCCCAAGGAAAGGCTGTGCTTACGTTTTGATCTTTCGCTGCAGGTGCTGTTGTGGTCTGCGAATAAGGTTTTTGAGGAACTGACTGACATTGAGAGGCAGTTCCACAAGGCTTTTTACACGGTGAGGGCATACCTGAACTGCGACCGGTACTCAGTAGGTCTCCTGGACATGACAAAGCAGAAGGTGAGCGTTCACATCCGTGTTGTGCATCTTTCTGATTGCTGCTGTCCCCTGAGGGGAGATACCCTGAGATAAGTTTTCCCGATGCCTGTCAAAGTGCAAATAAACTTGGAGTGGTAATTCCTACTTTGGTTGGCACTCTTTTGTTGTGCAAATGAAGAGACGGGCTTAATGAAAATAGAGGAAAAGGGGAGAGCTTGTCACTAGAATGGGACTGTCAAAGGCTGGGAAGAAAAATGAGGGGAAAATGTGTCTGACTGTGGCAATCCTGGTCAAAGCCTGCAACACAAACACAACCTTAGAAAGCCTGCGGATATCAGAAGTATACTGAGATAGCTGTGGAAACCCCCAGCAACAAAGCAGCCACTTTCCTGAAGGACTCATCCATGTGCACAATATCCAGGCTTTTAAATGGAATTTGTCTCCATGAAAACAAGCTGACAGAAGCTAAGTTACATCTGTTTTGGTCTGATTGTTTGCAACTTTGTCAAGTTCTATGTGGGGGTCACGCAGCATCCTTGTCAATGGAGCCCTGCTTTATTCCATGATCAGGCTGACCACTGTGTTGCCAGAGCTCTTACAGCACACTGTCTTGTGAAGAAGTGTATTAAAAGATCATTAGTGTGCTAGAGACACTTTGATCAGCATTATAATGAAGCCTAAGAAGAACAAGCAAACAAAATATTTCAGCAATCTGGCAAGTAGTAGATTAGCCCTATAGTCACACTCTGGAAAAGGAAGAACACAAAAGGTGTTGGCATGGCCATTTGCTCTGAGTGCAGCCAGCAGTGTTCACTGAATGAAGCAGCACCCTGTGTACAGGCAGTATATAATGCACCCCACTTTCCAATTTAGGTATTTGGGTATCATTCTGCTGCCTAGTATTGAACTAGTCTTATTATTTGATGCCTTATTTTACACACTACAAAAACCAGCACAGTAGAGCAATTGTTGCTTTGAGACCAGAGGCAGAATGCACTTTTCTACTCTAAAACTACTTCTTTAATTTTAAAACCAGGAATTTTTTGACCTATGGCCAGTCCTGCTGGGAGAAGTACCCCCGTACTCAGGGCCTCGCACTCCGGATGGCAGGGTACGTGAGAACAGGGCTTCTTTACCTCTCTCCTGCCTGGTTGGATTGCCTCACCACTGATTTCAACACCACTCTTCTCTTTATTTGTAGGAAATAGTCTTTTACAAGGTCATCGATTATATATTACATGGAAAAGAAGACATTAAAGTCATTCCGTAAGTGCCCAGTCCCTGTAAGTAAGGTACTAACACAGAGTGTAGGTAAAACCAAGATTCCCCATGATTTAAAGACATCCATGAGGAGAAATGCAAAGGACTAATAGAAGACTGAGTAAGAGAGGCAGAATGTAAGTTGGTTCTTCAGCTCACATCTCTGTGGGATAAAGATTTCCCCAAGGGCACTGGGATCCTGACTTGCAAGCCAGGCTCCAAAATTCACTACAACCAGTGATTCTTTTTAGATGCAGAAGTGAGCTGTCTTGACTGCCAGCAGTTTTGCCACTCTCCTTGCCAGGCTGAGGCATCTCTCCTCCTCCATGCCTTCCCTATGGAAGTGGGTGAGCCCACACGGTATGCCCTTTCGTTGAGGCAACGTTTCCTTGCTTCTCTCTAATCCTTCAGTCGCTGATCCCATCTTAGGGCTACCTCTGGCCTTTCCTCCTCTCCTCACAGCAGAAGACATCCTCTTTCTGAGAACTGCCCTCTCTTCTTGCCACTGGATGTTTCAGAGGAGCCTTGAGCACCTTAGACAAACCTGACATAACAGGAGTTTTGCTCAGTTCTGATCCCCAGTACAGCAGTGTTCAAAGTTCAGGCTGGCAGACAACCTTGGCCAGAAACTTCCTTTTATCTTTCTCTCTGTGTTGAAGGTCTGAAACATGGCCCCCACTCCCAGGAATTACTTTTTATTATGCCTCTGCAAACTGTGATATTTTATGTGTTATTTTGTATTGAATCCTTGAAGAAAAAAGTATTTACTTACATGAAAATTTTTTGCTTGTGCATGTGGATCCTTTGAAAGTAACAGGACTGTTTAGGAACTCAGAGTGAAATATGTAAATCTGGATTATGCAATCAGTTGGATACACTTCAGCTCCATGATCATCCTTCAGTAAACATATGTCCTTAATTTCCTTTATATATTTTTCTTTCATTCAGAAATCCTACCCCGGATCACTGGGCACTAGTTACTGGACTGCCAACCTATGTGGCTGAAAGTGGATTTGTGAGTACTTAACCTAGGATTCATCAAACCTTTCTGAGATAAAGTCAGACTCATGCTGCTTTCTCATCAATTCATCAGTTCTATGTTTTGGTAGTTAAACTTCTCATTGCCCACATTGTAAAACTTTTTCTTTTGTGTGATCCCCTAGATTTGCAACATTATGAATGCTGCTGCAGATGAGATGTTTAACTTTCAGGTATTGTGAAAACTTCCACTTCTGTGAAGGACTCTACTTTCTCTTTTTCCAGAAATGTAATATTGCGTCAATATTAGATATATAAATACTTCTTTTGTCTGAAGTCTTAATGTAAAATGGGAATGATGATGTGTTTAGAAAACACATTAAGTACATGATGTCTTTCTGCTTGCTGTTGCTTCAAGGAAGGTCCTCTAGATGAATCAGGATGGACTATCAAAAATGTTCTCTCCATGCCAATTGTGAACAAAAGGGAAGAAATTGTTGGTGTCGTCACATTTTATAACAGAAAAGATGGGAAACCATTTGATGAACAGGATGAAACCCTCATGGAGGTATAGTTCCTTTCTGTGGCTGGAAGTAATTCATGTGTTGAAGAGCTCACTGTTGCTTATTGTACACCCACAAAACATCTCCAGTGTTTTGAAGCTAAGTAGACTACTTTGTTGCTTAGAGAGGTGTTACACATCACCTTAGAAGTTTTGAAAGCAGCTATCTGACACACTGGGGAGTCTGGTCTTGGAAACCCAGCTGTGTTAGCATCATTTTGTTTCAGCATTCTTGGGTTGGACACCTAGCCATGAGCAGCTACTCTGTGCCAACACAACCGTTCTGACCTGCGTTCACATACTTGACAGCTGGTTCTCACTGACTGGGCCAGTCCCCCCCCAAAAAATTACACAGAAATTATCTATGTAGCTGAGATACAAAGGGAGGCCAGCTGTTGAATCTACCAGCAGCAGCTGTGAGCAAGGACCTTGCTGCTTAGAAATGCTCCTATGTTAGTTTCAATGCACTATAAGCATTCAGCTCTTGGCATCTGTTATCAATCAGAACATTTCCTGAAATAGACTTTTCTTATCAAACTAAAAGACTGTGGGGAAAAAAACCAGTTTGAATTGGCCACTGGGCAGCAAATGAGTTGAAAGCAAACACAGTGTGTGCGTAAATACATGTAAGAGGTGATGAGACCACCTTGATCTCAGCATTCCTGACCTGCTGTCACCATTGTAACAGCAGCCTTTCCACAGGCGTGGAGGCACTTGCAGCAACACAGAAATAGTTTTCTGTACACTGAACTGGACAGAAGGTCCTTGAGCCTCCACAGCATGGAGGCTCTGTAGGGCTGGGCAGATTCAACAGCTGGGGAGATGCTCTGCTGAGGAGTAAGTCACAGCTGGGAGCAAACACATGATCGCTTATTGCTAGAATTGTGGACAAAGTGGAGCTTGTGTTTCTCCAAAAATATATCATGCAGTGTTATATTTCTGTGCGTTTGAGGAACAGATGTTTCAGTTATTTCACCGTTTCCTTCTTTTCCCCTCACCAAGTCCTTGACACAGTTCCTGGGTTGGTCTGTGCTCAACACAGACACATATGATAAGATGAACAAGCTGGAGAACCGGAAGGACATTGCTCAGGACATGGTGCTCTACCACGTGAAATGTGACAAGGATGAAATCCAGGAAATTCTGGTAATGCCTCACAATGTGCAGCACACATCCAGGTGTACTGGCCTGGCCCACGGCTTATGGCACAGACACAGGTCTCCCATTTCACAGAAATGCTTCCAGCCACCATAACGTCGAGGCAGCACCTGGGCCCCTAGTCATTGCACAGTGGCTAAAGAAGTTTCTTTTGACTCTGTGGTCTGCCCTCCACCTTGGCACACTGCCCCAATACGTCCTTTCTAATTTCCTCAGCAAAGCCAACCTTAGGCACTACTCAGGGCAGGGCTGTAGGGATGGAAGAGAAACTGATTTATTTCCTAAAACCTTCTTAGTGCAGAGGACGTGAAGCTAGAGGACCCAGCTGGGACACTGGATCTAGGGGGACATTTACGAGTAGGGGAAACACAAATCCAAGGAGAGGGAGAACGCTACCAGGAAGCATGTGTTGAAAGACCAGAAACTGAAGTAAGGTCCAGGAAGGAAACACAATTTGCGTATGACAGCTACCCTAGATTGCCCCAAAGCAGCCAAGTGCAAAGTCCATTGGGGTTTAGTTGTCAGCTTAACACACTCATGCTCTTTGCAGCCAACACGAGAAAAGCTGGGGAAGGAGCCAAGTGAGTGTGAGGAAGAGGAGCTGGCAAGCATTCTGGTAAGAACAATGTACTGCTGGAATAAAAAGCCTTGGTGAGCAAACATTGCCTGTGTGGATGCAGGAAAGAGTTATCAGCATTGGCATGCTGCTACCTGGTCAGGGGCAAAGGCAAAGCATATCCTGCCTTCCTTTGCTGCGTGAATTTGGGGTTACCATCATAATGTCACAGCACGTGACTTCCCTAGGTCCTGGGGAGTCCCTGCTCCCTGCCACTTCATCTCAAGGGGTTCAAAGTCCACCTGGAAACACATCAGTCACCTCGGCTTGTCACGCATATTGTTCTCCAGAGTAATTAAGGAGGGCTGTAAGTCTTCCCCCATTTTGAGTCTTCAAACTGCATCAAATCAAGTGCTTAACAGAAAACAAACAATATTTCATGCACTTGACCAAATCCCACCCTCTCCCCCCATTAATGGGGTTACTATGAAAAGCTGCATTTCAATCTGTTTATGTGTTATATGCTAAAAGAAAAAGTTCACAGCAGTGCCAGACTGATAAGTTTTTGATAAGCAAACCTAGGAATGACATAAGTAGCAGAGCAATAAGCTATCCCCACCTCTCTTACAGAAAGAAGAGCTCCCGGGGCCCACTAAGTTTGAAATCTATGAGTTCAGGTTCTCTGATTTTGACTGCACCGAGCTGGAGCTGGTGAAGTGTGGCATTCAGATGTACTACGAGCTCGGCGTGGTGAAAAAGTTCCAGATCCCACAGGAGGTAGGAGCTGCCAAAACCCAAGATGCCCTGTCTTGGATGGCCAACAGACCCACCCTGTGGCTGAGGTCCCCACGCAGGGCACTCTCTGTGCACGCCCAGCGCAGCTCACAGAGCAGCCATGAGCTGGGTTCATGGGGGCTTGCAGAGAGGAGGGCGTGTGTCCTAAGCCCCCTCACACCTCTGAGGGCAGGGGACCGCCTCTCACTGCCACTGATCACTACGTGAGTGTTTGCAGCGCAAAGCTGTCCTCCTCTGATCTGAGCTGCCTGCCGCAGGTGGGGTTTGCTGTGAGGTCTATGGAGATGGGTAGTACAGCACGCAAAAGGTTGCTTGCACTTGCCGCGTAAAAACAGTTTCCAGGCACGACGTGGGGAGTGCCTGCCTGTGTGTGCTTGTTTCCTTTGCTATAGGATGTACCATTCAGCTTTCAGCCAAGATATGCTGAAAGCCACACTGGCAGGTCCTTGTGTTTCTCATCCCCTTGCAAACACGGATGTGCTCTCATTTGGTGCAATTGGCACCAACTTTCTGACTGTGGTCGGCAGGAATGGTGCGACCCTGTGGGAACAAGGACTCCATAGCCCCTGATGTGCAAATTCACGATTTTTGCCACGGTTCCCCCGTAGGAATCGTGAAACTGACATTTCAGCAGCTCTGGTGCTCCCCAAGGGATTTCTCGGCACATTATGTGAGGTTTATTTCCATCTAGTGGGATCTGGAGGTAACTGCAGGAAGAGTTTTCACCCTGGAAAGGCAGGCTGGGAATTAGAAGGGAAGCGAATGGGAATTATCTCTATGCCTCTTACTTGTAGCAGGTCAGTGTCAAAAAGTACCCAAAATATCTACTCTGCAACAACTAACCCCTGATACACGTGTGAAAAAAAAGTCATTCTTTGCTGCAACTCTGAATAGTTGAGATTTTTAAAAATGAATACTCATCCATAATTAATTTTCTCTCTAATGGCAAAACCTACAGCTACCTAACAGCTACAAGATGTAGTACACACGGAGTAGTAGAATGCAGAGGGGGAAAGCTAGTTTGTTATTTAATGCCCTATATTGTAGTTGCTTAGGTCTCTACATCTATGGATTCCCATCTCTTGAAGAGAGATATCAGTATTAGTAAATCACAAGATACAGGACAGACAAATATTATGAGTAACAACTTAGATAAAAAAAAATTCAAGAAATTCACAGTCAGTAAGATGAAACCACAATAAATTCACAAACAGTACAATGAAATCTCTTTTCCTTTAGGTAGTGATTATTCTTGTTTACCCCACAAACATCTCTGTGATTTTATTTTTCTTACAAAAAAAAAAATTAGAAAACAGAGAGCTATATTTTGGATCCCACTTTGCTCTCCACTAATCTTTAGGCTTTACTCTAATAATGCTGTCAGGGAAGTCTGATGACATTACAGCTTCTGATCCCTTTCTGGGGCCACCTCTGTAGGACTGGAACCTCATCCATGACTTCTGTATACGATTCTCATTGTGAGAGCCAGAGCCAGCGGCTTCATCACCCAAACTAACATCCTCTTCCCCATTTGCAGGTTCTGGTAAGGTTTGTGTACTCCGTCAGCAAAGGCTACCGGAAGATAACTTACCACAACTGGCGTCATGGCTTCAATGTTGCACAGACCATGTTCACGCTCCTGATGGTAAGGTAACACCACCCTGGTTAATTCTGTGGCACAGTTTATTTACAGCACCTAAGAAATATGCAGGTCTCCCTTTGAATCCTGGTGTAGGAAAAGGGTTTGTCACTCCTAGCACAGGTCCTGATGAATGAGGTCTCCATTTGCCTTAGGTAACAGTCATTGCATTACATTTAAATCTTTGGTCAACACTGGCCAATGAATGGAATGCTTTAATTCTCAGGTGTGTGTGGTGTTGAATAGACTCCAGACTAAATCCGTCTGCAGAGTAGGGGAAAGAGACTACAGGACTTCCATTCTTCCAACAGATTCTGACAGTAAGAGCCAGACTGAAGTTAGCTGGTTGGGATGGAGGCAACCCCATGCTTTCCATTTCCAGGCAGGACAGACACGGGTGTAAGTATATCGCTAGTGTGAACACGGCAAGTGCCACTTCTCACAGGCTCTCAGGGCAACAAACACCTCAACAAGAAAAACAAGTGTCTGGCTGCTGCTCCACACCAAGGATTGACCAGCCAGGAACCACTGAGGATGGTTTCACACATCTGCCTACACATCTGGCAGCAGGCTTATGCCTACCACAATCCCTTGGGTGATTCAGCTGGGACATCACATTGCCCAGAAAGATGAGGAACCTCTTCAAGTAGTACTTTCTGTCCAGCGACTGCAGGGGTGCTTATGACAACCTGGGTGAACCCTAGGGCACAAGACTTCTATAGCAGGATGCAGACAACACTGTAGATGTGCATCAAGCACATAAGCACCACACATATGCCTACCTGAGTCTGAAATGTTCTGTTTCCAGCTGATTCCCCATTTTAACCTAAGCCTACCATGTATGGTGCTTAGGTTCACAAATGTTTTCAGTTCTCCTGGACTATTCCAGTAAGGAGATCCCTGGCACAGAGCAGTCACAGGTCAGTACCTGTTCCTGTACGAGATGCTAACATATGGCATGTACATTCTCTCCCTCCAGACTGGCAAACTGAAGCGTTACTACACAGACCTTGAAGCCCTTGCAATGGTAACTGCTGCTCTGTGCCACGATATTGACCACAGGGGAACCAACAACCTTTACCAAATGAAGTAAGCACTTTCTTACTGCTTCAAACCAGTTCTGTTGCTCTCAGGTTGAGTAGAATCAGGCTGTTGACCACACCAAACTCCAGTACAGCTCTGTTTAATACACAGGGGTAACAAACTTCTTTTGCAAATTTCCTTGCTTTTCAGCTTACTACAGCACTTTGGTTTATGCTTTGGCCAGTGGTGACACTGAAAAATTGCTGTGCTCTCTGGGGCTTGCTTGACCTCCTAGCAAACCTCCTTTGGTTAAAGCAAAACTTACACTACCATTACAGTGTAGAAGGCACTTGGTAGCCCGAGTGCCACAGGAGACCTATGATGCCACCAGGAGCACCCTGGGCATAAGACGACTAGTTTCTGATGGAAGGTACCTATGCAGAAAGCACCATGCACAGCACTGCCCTCACCACCTACAGAAACAAAGCATCTGTGAGAGTGCTGCTCTCAGTAGGTAGTTATTAGCTACAGAGAAAAAATTGCATGATTTCGTTGACTAGTCAAGACCCTGTTGCTCCCTTAAAGTAGTGTCAGATCATAGCTCTTTTGCAATGATTGCTGGCAATACTGTCTTACTGTTTTCTGGTGCTTTGGAAAAATGCTGAGTGAAGCTGGCTCACGTTTTTGATACAAGAGGGCCTTGCTTTTCAGCAAGGAAAGTGTTCAAGGATTGCAGGGTTTTATATTCCTATTACTAGATATCAACACGTATTTAACTCAGGAATTAAACAAGCTTACTAAGCTGAGTAATTACAATGCAGTCAGATACAATGTTTGAGGGGAAATTCATAGTTGAAAGACTGTCTTATACAGTGTCCAAATAGTTATAAGCAGTGTCACAAAAGTCTTTAATTAGACTGAGGTCATTACTTACTGAAAAGTGCTACTCTTAACCCTTTTAAAAGGAGTTAAACTTATGTGTGTGACAAAAAATAAATAAAAAATGAGACACTTCTTTTTATTTTTAAATGCTGCACTTACATTTTTAATCTTTCCTTTACGCAACCAGATCTCAAAATCCCTTAGCTAAACTTCATGGATCCTCAATTTTAGAGAGACATCACTTGGAATTTGGAAAATTCTTGCTCTCTGAGGAGGTTGGTAATGTACTGTAATATAAGGGCATGAATAATTTAATTTTAGGGAAATTTTTCATTAACAACAGAGCTGTCAGCACAAGACCTTTCTCTGGATTGGATACTGAGAAATTGCAGCTGCCTTTGTCCCCAGGTAATCTCTCCTCACCCAGGACCAAAACACAGAGGTTTCCTTAGTGCATGACTTGGTTCCTTCAGAAGACGCATCGTTATCCACATAGGAATATGTTAAATAAAGGATTGTTCTCCTGTAGCCCCTCTGACTAAGGCTGACACATTCCCACAGCTAACTTTTAATTTCAGGCAAATTTGCACTGGGGTCAGGGGATGGGGTTTGGGTGCACGCTGTGTAACAAGTTTCAAGATACAGACCCCGTTCAGTGAACAAAAGAGGAAACCAGCCACCCACATGTGAACGGGGCTCACAACCCTTGCAACTCAGGGGAGCAAGCTGAAGCTGTTAAAAGAAAATAAAAGTGAACACCTTTGGGAAAGGGAGGTGGCCAGGAACCCAAAAAAACCACAGTGACTGAATTTTGCAACTCCCTTTCCTTCTCTTTTCAGTCACTGAATATATGTCAGAACCTCAACCGCAGACAGCACGAGCACGTGATTCACCTGATGGAAATTGCCATTATAGCAACAGACCTGGCACTCTACTTCAAGTAAGTCAGTCACGTACACTGTGTGTGAAGGGCAGAAAGCAGCTGGCACTTTACAAAGGCCAAATGTGATGCTTTGCTCTGAAAGCCTCCCACCCGTGCAGCAGTTTCTTCACAGACACTGGCTCTGGGAGGCTGCCTTTAATATTGACTGCAGAGCTGGTGGGAGAACTCAAATCATTCAAAAGGATTTTGAACTTCTGTCAAACCATGTATGTGACCTTTTAACTCTCTATTTCCAACAAGGCAGGGTTATATGATCCCCTAATGGAAAGAGATGTCAGGTTTGGGGTTTTTTTTAACCTAGCACTCCAACACTGAAAATACTCATAAATGGCAAATGGTCTGGCAAGGGCTGCACTAACTTCTCTGGGAGAGCAGCATGACACAAATAATAAGTGGTCTATTGTAAGTGAATATCCAGCTCACAGTCTATTTCACACCCAAAAGCCAAAATTGCCAAACATCTTGGAGCAGTGTGTGCTAACTTTCTGGGACATAAGGCTGAAATTCAATGACATATGACTTCCTAATTAACAAGGAGCTCTCAAAATGTGCTTTCAGAGTACTGTGTCGAGACCAGATTATTGTGTTTTGTACTGCAGTACAATTATGCAAAATACAAACAGTCCACAGAAGAGGAATTTGAGGGAGATTACAAAGTCTTACTCTGAAGATACAATGTCTGTGTGGGAGCATATACCACCACTTCCTCTCCAGCTGGGAACAAACTGGTCCTTGACCTCCTTGGTCCACGAACTGCAAGCAAAGTCTTAGTTAAGACCCAGGAATATTGATGTAGATAGGTCCTCAAGGAAGCCCCAACAAACCCAAGCACCACCACCTGCTTCTCTTAAGTAGTGGAAACTATTGTAAATGCCTTAAAAATAAGTGTAGTTGTGAGACATGAGCAGGACCTTGAAAGTATTTACAACTGCAAGTTATGTCAGCTGAGAAATGCTTTCACCTTTGCTGGCAAAATAAAGAGGCTTTTTCCTTGAATGTTAAGCAAACTGCAGAAACCTAGAGCTGGAGTATTTTTAAAGCTACTTGTCTTTGTATACTTAGTCAATCACTGTTAACCTTATTTATATACCTAAACATATGTAGGGAATTCTGAGGAATGGTTTACACATGATACATCCATGTTTTGAGTGGCATAAAATCTGGAGAGACCTGATGTTTCAATGCTAGCAGAGAAGACAGGCCACATCACAAAACTACTTCATACGTGCTCTAAGTGCCAGGAGAGCAACTACTGGAAATCCTTCTGGAAGGGTTAGCAATACCAGGAACAGCTATCTGGTTTTAACATGTTTGTTTCCTTGTTTCACAGATTTTTCCTTTTGTCTCCCCCCCTTTTTTGTTTTGTAAAACTTTTTTTTTTCCCTCAAAGAAAGAGAACAATGTTTCAAAAGATCGTTGACGAGTCTAAGACATATGATAGTGAGACTGCCTGGACTGAATACCTGTCTCTGGAGACAACAAAGAAAGAGGTTGTCATGTGAGTAATCAGCTCTGGAAAGGTTAGTGATGTGTCCACCTGGTGAGAGCTCCAGTATACCCTTTGTGCTGCATTTGGTGCAAAATCAGCACATGATATATTACTGCATGCTTAAATTTGACCTTCTGGAGAAGCAGGGTTTAAAAAGGGAAAAAAAAAAAAAAAGTAGTTCTTCCTCCAAATAAATCTGGGCACATACTTGTAGGGAGATGGAAGATCCCTTCTGGCTGTATATTCCTACCAGGCCACCCTGTGGCCTGTAGACCAGAAGCAGGGACATCCAATCCACTAGCTGTTCTTCCCAGTGGCAACCAGTCTGAGTCACAATGCTGTTGTTGTGACTTGACAGCTGTTTTGCAGGATGCTCTGCACTGGCAGTGAAGCACACTCACAATCTCACTGCAGACTGCACTGCTACACGTCCATGAGGGAGACAGAGATGCTACTCCAAAGCCAAGAAGTTCAACCCAGCACTGACTGGTTTGATCTTGTTCCATGATGGCTGATCCTCAGAAGATGACATCTAGGGTGCATGTGAAATAGGCCATAACCAGCTTCAAAGACAGGGAAGCAAATACCATCTCTCTGCTGCTCCCATTTTCTATGGACTGCCTAGTAAGTCTGCTTGGATATCTATACGTGGAATAGGGCAAGAAGCTGGCGAGCAGTGAGTATTTAGGACCTTTGAGAAAGAAAGGCAGGATCAGTTCTAAAGGCATAACTGGAAAGGAGTGGCATAAATTTTATATTGGTGAGTATCTATAAGACTTAGGAATGCCACACCGCTGTTGGAGACAGCACCACAGGCCTTTGGACTGAATAGCTGGGACCTGCAGTTCTGTTTTGAGCCCACACATGGTCCCCATTCCCCTGACACCTACAATATGCAGCCAGAGTGCAGTGGCCAAGGACAGGAAAAGCACTTTGATTAGTTCACAGAAAGCTAATTCTAGTCTAGGAAGGTTGTGCAGTGAACATGCTAATGTCAGAAACAATGTTTCCCATCTCAATTCCATTTTAACCAAGAGAGCAATTCTTGATGAATGTCCCAGTCAGAATCAAGGCTGTTACAGCAGCATGTCTTTCTTTATCACTTCAGCAGGAACAAGGGGATACCTGACACAGTACTGGGACATGAAGTTCCTGAGCCTGCAAGAAGTAAGGTGCAGGCTACAGACAATAAATTTATTTCTTTCCTGTTTTTAGGGCAATGATGATGACTGCCTGTGACTTGTCAGCAATCACAAAGCCTTGGGAAGTCCAGAGTAAGGTCAGGTGCTTGATATATCATTAGATTTCTGTAGTTTATACTTCAAAGTAATGCAATTTCCTAAGCTGCCTGGAAGGTCAATCAGTCTCCTACCAGAATTACCAAAAGAAATAGCTATAGTCTTGGTGGATTAACCATTCTTTCAGATTGTAGTAGTGTTGGAAATGTTTCTTAATAGGTGAACAGTGGACTAATGAGATCAAGTGCAATAAGACTGTTGAGCTGTCACTACACAGAAGGGTTAGAAGTCAGATTTTCTTCATGGTGGAGACCTGAAGCGCATCAAGTTACGAGGCTGAAGTTGGTACTAACTTTTCTTTTTCCCTCCTTGTCAATGTAGGTAGCTCTACTGGTAGCAGCTGAGTTCTGGGAGCAAGGAGACTTAGAAATAAGCGTCCTTCAGCAACAGCCTATTGTAAGTACCGTGCGAGAGCCAGGCAGCTCAGTTCAGACAGCAAGTCTCAGCAGAGACTTACTACAAGAAGTGCTGCTGTCACAGTGCTGTGACTCTGCCTAAAATCACCATGCCTGCCAAAATCCATTGGAAAAGTGTGTACTCAGTGAAGAATCTCTGACTAAACCCAGTGATTCTTGTCCAGCTCTCCATATAGTTAGATGGCTTCAGTGGCTGTGAACCATCGAGGAGTGGACTCCCCCTGGAGACTTTGTGCTGGTCCCTTACAGAAAAAATGTAAATTAAATACATAAGTCACAGAAGAAAGCATAGTTTCTGATAAAGAGAAAAACTGCAAACACAAACTCTGTAGAGTCAAGAAACTTTCTGGTAAATGGAAGGGTGTTTCTAACACTTTTTTTTTTTAACACATAGTTAAATTTGGCATTGAAAGGGACAGGAATCACTCCTTGATGCAGCCTCCACCTGCGTGGTTTGGGTTTTATTTAAGAAGACTTTCATACACCCCATCTATCCACAGTGGCATTACAAATAATATATTAATTGGCAAGGTCTTATAAGAATATAATTTTGTGCTCAGTTACATTTTATAGAATTCAAAACCTCTTCAGCCCTATAATAAACCTTCCTTCAGGTATCTGAGACATACATGGGAAAGATTCTCTGTCCTCCTCCCCATCCACAGACACTCAAAGAGCTGTCTAAAATTTCTACTAAAATGGCAAAGGAAGTCAGACCACTTCACTCCTCTGCAGTGGAGAAAGAGGGCTGTGATGGACAGCCTCTGTGTATGGCATGACAGAACTGCTAGGCTGACACAACAAGGCGATTTTGGGGAGAAAATAGAAGTGTGTTTTTCAATTAAGTGCTCTCATAAATCATGGTCAACTTGTGTCCTCCCACAGCCCATGATGGACCGAAGGAAAGCTGCTGAGCTTCCAAAGCTTCAAGTGGGTTTCATTGACTTTGTGTGTACGTTTGTCTATAAGGTAAGCAAAGGGTACCCTTGCATACCCCATCCTTCTCAACAGGGGCTCAAATACCAGGTGAGCGAGTCCCAGTGCAGCAACACCACTCAAGGGGGGAGGGACAAGTAGAGGAGGCAATATCTGCCCCTCTGCAAGGCGTTGCAGCACGGTGCTTGTTTGTGCCATTAATGCTTTCTCTGCACAAGCCAGCTTTGGAGGTGAGGTGTCAGGGTCTGCCCTGGGGTACGATGGACAAGCACTGCCCCTGCACTGCATTGTGCTGACAGGTGTGTTTTGGTTAGGAATTTTCACGTTTCCATGAGGAAATTCAGCCTATGCTTGATGGGCTCCTGAACAATCGAAATGAGTGGAAGACCCGTGCTGATGAGTACGATGCAAAAATGAAAGCTCTGGAGGAAGAGAAGAAAAAAGAGGAAGAGAGAATGGCTGCAAAGAAAGGTCAGAAACAGTAATTAGCTTTACATTCTGAACTCAGAAACATACATATGCAATACACTCACAGATCCGCAGCAAGCTTTGCTAAGATGGCAGAGTAAGATGTCCACAAAAAGTTTCTTAAATTTGGCTCCACTGGCAAGGCTGAAGGCACCATGACTGGCTGTCAAAAAGGCCACCCACTTAAATTCCCAAGAACTAGTTTCTGAGAAACTAGTGAGAATCCATTCAGCACAAGTTCCCATGTAGCTAAGGATAGCCAAAAGTTGTTTGCTGTCCCTGGAAAACAGCAGGGAAACATCCCTTTATGCTCAGGGACTGTGGCCTATGTGCCGTCCCACAGGTCATAAAGCAGAAGCTAAGAAAAGTCAACAGAGTCCTAGGGGGAACACTTGAGGAACAATGGTTCATCCCATTTCTAGTCCAGATTAAGTACTACCTAGAAGCCAGTAGTAGTGGTAGAAACTAGCAGCAATCTGTTTTGGTCAAACCTGTTTTTCTTTTTCTGTGGGCCCAGCCTGTGTAGTACTGAAATCCATTGGCTGTAGCAGGCATTGGGTGAAAGCTTGTTTGGCAGCCTGAGCACTTGTTTGACTCTCAGTAATGTGGAAGCAGAAGGTTGTCCTGGCCTCTCCCAAATGATCAAATGTCTGCCAGAACTTCATGCCTCCGCTCCACAGAGGCTGTATCTGAACTCTCCTTTTTTTCCAACAAAATTCCAGCAGCCCTCGAGTGACACAGTTCAGAAATAATTAGAGCTATCTAGGTGTCTTATCTCAGTTTAATTCATACAAGTTAAATTAAAATATCAAAACTGCTTTAACTATTATTTGGAAAATTTCTGAAGAATTACTTTATGAACAAGTAATTGATATTCAAGCGAGGAAGATTTCTACTAACTCTAAAATACTCTTTCCAAGCAGCCTTACATATACAATTACTTTGCACAGCAGGCAGCTCTAGATAGGGTACTATAGTTATGACCTACACTGGTCATTGGAAAACATAAAAGTCCTTAAAAAACTAAGAAGAAAATTTGTGACTGTGTCTCTAATTCTGTGTTTCTTTTTACATGGCAGATGGAATAACCTGTAACGGAGGAACAGCTCCAGCTTCCAAAACCTGTAGCATACTTTAGACATATATGCAATATATGCCACCTAAAATGAGAATGCCCACGCTTAAAAAAAAAAAAAAAAAAAAAAAAAAAAAAGACATAAAAATACATTCCTGATTGGACTGTTCTGATACTTTATTAGGCTTATGATCAACCAGGGAAGGGCTAGATCTTGTTTGCCTTAATTGCATCTCTTCCTGATGGTAAGGAGCCGGTTCTGTCCTGTCTCTTGCTCCATGTAATGCACCTTATGTCAGATGGCATATGGGAAATCAGAACAACATTGGGCCCAATAAATCAGGTTGCAGGACTATGGAAGAGCATTTCTCCTGCACTGAAACACTTCTTACAGCAAAACTGATCGGGATAGTCCTACTCCATACAACCCTATATGATTGACAGTGTACACAACCATAGCCTGCAGAGTAGGAAAACAGAAGAAGAGCCAAATTTGTCATATCTAAGCCTATATCTGGACAGCAGAATATATCCTATATCTGGATATCACGATATCAGAAAGAAATCTGAGGCTAAGGATAAAGCATGAAAACTGATCATAGTAAACCTCTGAACTGCTCTAAAATACTTTGATTCCATGTAAATCCAAGAAACACTTGGACAGATAAAAGTTCTGCACTCACTTCAAGAACTGGGATGCGTTGCTATCGCAAAGCGTGGAGCCATAACACCCAGTAGCTGCTTTCTTCAGGAGCAGGTTCCACAGTGTGCTAACTGAGGCGTTGTTCTTTCACACATGATTTTAAGAAGACAGGGTTATCATTACCCATTACAGTTCCACTTACAGTTAACCAAGCAACTTGAATTGTGGCATCTCCTAAACTTGTTCTGTTTTGCCTCATAGTGCCAGTTATTTAATACACTTGATCAGAACCAACCCCTCCTTCTTTTCTTCCTCCTGTTCTGAGGTGTCTGTTTTCTAGATTCCCCTACAGACTTGTGACTGATGACCTGTACCCTTTTATTTTAGATAAAAGTTAGTTTTCATGTTTATTCATGTAAACATATTAGAGCATTTAATTACACTGTTGTAGTAGTAGAGACACCTTCTCTGCTCCTTTCTCATTCTCTCTCTCTCTCTCTTTTTTAAAACTGTTTGGATATCTATTTTGCTGGGGATTTTCTTCTTCTTCTATTGCTCTTGCTATCTTTCAGGGCTTTACCCTTCAGTATCTTGTTTTGCATTACAAAAATACTGCAAGTAAAAGGAAAACTAGAGCTATGGTGGTACATGGTCATCATTTATCTGTTTCTCAGTGTAGTAAGCAAGATGTAATCCTCTATCACTACACAGCAATTCCAAGAGAGGCAATTCGTCTTTCAGGAAAATACAGGAAGTCCACTTGCATGAAAGCTAAATATGCCATTAGTAATGAGTTCATGCTGTTTGTCTCAGTTTCATTAAGAATCATAGAATTGTAGAATGTTAAGTGTTGGAATGGACTTTCAAAATTATCTAATCCCAACCCTCTCTGCCATGAGCAGGGACATCTCCCGCTACACCAGGTTGCTCAAGGCCTTATCCAACCTGGCCTTGAACACCCCCAGGGTTGGGGCATCCACAGCCTCCATGGGCAACCTGTTCCAGTGTCTCACCACCCTCACAGGAAAGAATTTCTTCCTGATATGTAACCTAAATTTCCCCTCTTTCAGTTTGTACCCCTTACCCCTTGTCCTATCACACAGCTCCTGATGAAGAGTCCCTCTCTGGCTTCCCTGTAGGCCCCTTCAGATACTGGAAGGTTGCCATGAATCTCCACACAACCTTCTCTTTTCCAGGCTGAACAGCCCCAACTTTCTCAGCCTGTCTTTGTAGGGGAGATGCTCCAGTCCTCTTACCAACTTTGTGGTCCTCCTTTGGACTTGCTCCAACATTTCCATATCATTCTTATGTTGAGGGTATCAGATCTAGACACAGTACTTCAAGTGGGGTCTCACAAGAGCAGAGAACCATGTAGGAAGCTTTTATCATACAGCAGATGAAGTCAAACAAGAAATTTTTTTTCTTTTGGTGGGAAAATGCCAGAAGGTTATTGTGTCAGAGAGTGGGAAGCAGCGAGATTTTGAGGATCACAAGACACCGTACACTTAAATGCTGAGAAAAGCTCCTTATGTTCTCAAATGTTTTCTGGGTAATGAAACCTGGAGACTAATATCCCTGCCCTCTGTGCCCAGTGTGAAGTGCCCACAGCACTGCAGGCTGCCCCAGCAGGGCTTCTCACACAAGCAGCACGGGCTGCCTGCCCAGCACACCCAGCAGTGCTGGCAGGACACAGAGCTGTGGGTGGCAGTGCCTCATGTGCCCACAGCCACACGGGAGCACAACTTGTCCCACACAGCATTGGGGTGGGCATGCTGCTGTGTATTTCCAAAGGGGATCATGCACACTTGCAGAGGGGTGTCCATGGACATGCAGGCTGTGGTGCCAGTGGAGGAGGCTGTTTCCGAAGGGTGGACCATTTCGATGGGAGCAGTAGGGTCTCTGATGCTCCCTTCCAAAAAGGGCAGCCCTAGAGTCACAGAACAGTGGAGATCTCACAGCAGGAAGCTGCACTGGTGCGGACAGCACAAGCTCCCTACTGTCTCCACAACAAGCTCCTCTGTCCCCTTCCTCCTGCTCCTCTACCTGCCTGCGGACCTTCAGCACCCCAGGCAGAGCACAGAGCTCTGCTGTCCATGGCCATTTTGTTGGACCAGGTCAGTGGTCCCATGCCCTTGCTGCTCAGTAGCTGACTGCCTCTCATGTTGCTGTGTCAGCTACAGTCTTAGATTATCCAAGAGTTAAGTGCAGGGTAGCATCTGTGGTATCCTGGGACAGTCCCTGATGCCTTGATTCCCAGGCTGGCTCATCTACAGAAAAGCATTGATGGCAAAACACAATGCTCCAGAAAGGAGTGGCTGGTGGTGGGAAACTCTTTGCTCCTCAGACACGTTGATGAGATGCTTCATCAGTTGCTCCCACTGTCTTCTGTTCTGACACAGAGGTCATGTCCAGCCACAGGATGTACAGCCCTGAGCTCTGGGCAGCCTGCTCTGCCCTCTGCCCATTGCTGTGGCTATCACTCTCACTGCCTAATGCAGGCTGAGCGTCTGAGGAGAACACTGACTTTCTAATTGATACTACACAGGCCAGGTGACAAAAGTAATTTTTGTCTTTTTCCCAAAATGGTACCATCTAACCATACAGTCACTTAGCCAGAAGACTGCGACCACTGTCCTTTCAGGTCAACAATTCCTTAACTAATGTTTCTACATCTTTGAGGCTGGTGAGATACTGGAACCCAAGGAGGCTGTGGATGCCCCAACCCTATCAGTGTTCAAGGCCAGGCTGGACAAGGCCTTGAGTAACCTGGTCCAGTGGGAGATGTCCCTGCCCATGGCAGGAGGAGCTGGGACTAGATCATCTTTAAGATCCATCCCAACCCCTTAACATTCTGTGATTTCTATGAAACTCCCCAGTCAAGCCATTTAAGTAACAGGTTCAGGCAGTCAGTGCCTCACCACTCCCCTCTCCTTCCACCTGCCCATGTGTATTAAATTGTATGTACTTTCTGATCAAAAACATTAGCTATAAGTAATGGGTGTAGTGACTGGCTATTGCTGGGGTAATAGTGGGGGGGTTCAGCTGCAACAATGGCCTGGTTGGGACAGATGCTTTCTGTCACATTCTGTAAGTATTTCTGCTGCTGTTCTGGGCAATTCACTCAAAAAATACCAACTGAAGCGTAGTAAGTACTTTATTGATAGAATATCATGCAGAGTTCAGAAACCATTGGACAGTTCACAGCCTAGCCACGTGTGAAATTCAAATCACACCTTTTGTTCATTTCAATATGGAATCTTCACTTGCTAGAAGGGAAGAAAAAATAAACATGGTTAGTACTACTAGCCACTCCCATGCAGTACTAAAATACACAAAACATCAGCAGAATCAGAGGCTACTTTCATGTAATTTCTTTCTAGTCAGTTTTTATGATTCCCACTTCTGTCTGTTCAACAGCATTGCAATTCATACTTTGGAGTAAAGGCACTTTTAAGTTTATTCACTGGTGAAAGACAATTTTCTGAATTGATGAGTCAAATAAGCCCAGAAAAAGCTATCATTACAGATATGTCCAGTCATCCAACTGTAAGGAAAAATCTCCAGCAACTACATTGCATTCAATCAAAGTTTAACAATTGCTTTTCTGAAAAAAACACACCAAAACCATTGCTGGGAACAAAGACCTGTCATCTTTATGCCATTTTTAAAGAGATAAAACATTCTAAAGAAATAATCAGAGAACTTCATTTTTAAGTAGGCTGGCAACACCACAGCATAGTCTCTACCTCCAAAATTACAAAAGTTTCACCTAGCTAGAGAACATCTAAAATGCTTATTTATTTAGTCCATGACCAATGGAGACTATGTATTTAAGATGGCAAAACAGCCATGCAAAATGGCTTCATCTCTAGTAGGTGATACAAATCACCCAACTGCATATTTGATTTTCTGTATGTGTAGTTCATTTAACTTTACAGTGTTTCGTTCTGTGTTAGTTTTGTTTAGGACAATGGAAATGTCACTAGTTTCCATGGAACAAGTTACCGAGTGTGTAGCTGCTCCAAGAACAGCCTCAGCTATTAGTCAGTTTTCTGACTCTTCTTAACTCTAAGTCCACCCAAAAAAAAACCCTTGCTGAAACCAAGCTAGAGAGCACACTCCTCTGTAAGGTAGCAGGGAAGGAATCCTCTGTTAGAAACACACAGGGGACCCAAGAAATAATCCTAAGGACCAGGGCGACAACACCGCAGCAGGAATATTACAGGGTGGAAGGGAATGAGAAAATAGCAGCAGTACTAATATGAACAGATCCCCTGCAGCATGTATCTTTTCACATGAGAGATACAACAAATGAAGCTGACCTCTAACACTACACCTGTGATACCGCTTAAAATTCTGGAGTTGCAATTACATGCAGCTGCCTACGGCTTCTGGTTTAGATGATCAGTCATACTTATGAGGTCCCTGCACTGCATGGAGAAGAGGGACTGTAAATTTGTTGCATACAG